GTCTATGTCAGGCCCTGACTGGACATTTTATTGGCATGGCATTATATTCTCAAACCTCCTGTAGGCAAGAACTATCATCAGCCCTTTGTCACAGAAGTGCAAAGTCGCATAGTGCAAATTGCTGTCATGACAGCAATTAGCTTATAGCTTCATAGCTGGAGAGCCAAGGAGCCAGGACCCCACTCAGCCCTTTTGTCCAAATGGTGCACTCTTAGCTGTGCATCACTCTGCACCAAACCCTACCTCACAGTGGGCTGGAGCCCAGCTGGGAACCCAAGGAGCAGGAGGAGGCTGCCCTTGTTTCTGGGGCTCCATGGGGGTCCAGGAAGTCAGAAGACACATGGACTGCATGCAGGGTGACAGGAGCAAAGAGGCTCCTGAGAGAAATGAAAGCTGTACTGAGGCCTGAGAGGATGTAGCCAGACAGGATGGGGAGGCCAAGGTCAGGGATGGGAGTAGAGGGTGAGGCAGGCAGGAGTGGGCAGGCAAGGGAATGGAATTGGCAGCTCCGAGCCAAGGTCCTGGGGCAGAAGGGACCTTCATACTCAGCCCAACGCCCTCACAGCATCATCAAGGTCCAAGATGGAGCCTTCAAGCTGGGCAGCACCCAGAGCTGGTGCATTTGAGGGAAAGTATGTCCCATTTAAAAGTGGGTAGAGCTGCCATCCACCCACAGATCTACTCCCAACATGACTCCTGCAGGATGAGGTAGCCAGAGAAACAGCCCTTGGGGAGGGTGTCCTGGGGGAACACTCCTGAGGATCATAGGGACTCCAGACCCTCCTTCTGGGGGTCCATGTGAATCCCCACCCAAGAGCCCTCTTTAGCCTGGCTTTGGTGGTCTCTGGTGGGCCTTTGGACAAGCTCTCAGCCCTGAAAATTTTCCTGATCAACACTAGTAGCCTGCCTTTAATACACCATCCCCATGTGGGCTTGGGGCTTCCAGCCAAGCTGCTCCATTGGCCTCATGACCTGGGACCACAGGAAACTGGTAGCTGAACCCCCAGAGCCAGCTTCACAGCCTTAAGGCTCTGTGCCAGACCCACCTGGCCAACTGCCTACATTCCAGGCTCCCACTTTGGAGACCAAAAGGCTCATTAGAGCCTCAGGCTGGTCACGGGGAAGGGCTGAGGTGTCAAGAGACCAGAGTGGCCCTGGGGAGGAGTAGGGGGACTGGAAGGCTCAGCTAAAGGACAGCACTCTGCCTGTCCTCTAGGGAGTTCCAGCTTGGGTCCTGTCACCACAACTCACTTCTGCCCAAGGTCCTAAGCAAACTTGCTAACTGCCTCCCCAGAGACCTCCTATACTGGGACCTTCACACTGTTCCTCTGCCTGGAATGCCTGGGACTCAGGTGGATGAGTCATCACTTTAGCCCAGAGACACAGTAAGAAAAGGAAGCTGCTATGGCGTGCCAGGGGGGCCAGACTCAGGACTGGGCCTGTGAGAGGTGGGAAATTCTTCATGGCAGGGTTCTGAAGACTAGGTAGGAGTTTTCCAAGAGGAAGAACAGAAGACAGCTAAGAGAAGCTTAGTTTCCACAGCTAAGAGAAGAGAGCATGGAGGGTGGGAGATGAGCTACTCAGCATGACCCTCCCTGGTCCTGAGAAAGAAAAGATGAGGCGCACTCACCTGCTGAAGAATAACCATGATCCTGAGTCAGAAGCACCTACAGGAGTGACCAGGTACAGTTCTGTGGGAAGAGACAGCACCAAGCCCTGAGCCCAGGCAACTCTGAGTCTGCAAGGCCACCTAGGCTCCTCCCCAGCACCCCCACCCCTCCTCCCTCACGGAAATCCTTCCAGATTTCTGTCCCTTGTCCCTCCCATCACAACTCAGTCTATATGACCCTCAGTTGCTGTCACCACCTCCATTGCCCAGAGCTGCTAAGCCTTGGTCATTCTGTCAGCCTTTGTCACCAAGACTCCCAAGGAGCTCCTAGAAAGTAGTGTATTTAACCCCACACCAGACATATGAACAAAGCTCAGGGAAGGTTTGTCTCTTGCACAAGATCATACAGTAGGACAGGGAAGATTCAAGACTAAAACTTGGGCTCCAACATCCCACCCAATTCAGGACTGCTCTAGGTCACATGATAGAGTGGCTTATTGCCTTCATCTCCTACCTCATCCAGCATGGGGCTAGGCCCAGAAACCAGCTCAAGGAGGATTTGCTGCACTGGCCATGGTCACCGGAAGCATCCCTAGCCTATAGGCCCTGGCTCAAGGCCCCTCCATCCCTGCCTGGTCTGCCTACACCCCTCCCTGCCCCCAGTGAGCATTAAGTTTTCACAAGGGCCCATTCAGAGGCACTGGGATATCTGATCCTCTGCCCACGACACTACCTGACACCTGAGCCCTGACCCCCAGGCCCTGGGTCTCTATGGGCACGTGGTCCTACTGGAGACCTACACCAGCCTGGGGAACCTGGCAAGGAAATAATTGCAAGGGCAGCAGGCAGGAGAGCTGCCATCTGAAGAGGCTGCCTGGCTCCTGCCCATTCATGCAAGCACAAGACTGCCAAGACAGACCAGGACCTTAGGACAGAGCTGAAGGCCGGTGCATCAGGGAAAACCACAGGGCTCTTTTATCTAGTGCAGGACATTCTAGTCCCTACACTAAGAACTAGATCTTGTGTGAGTTTTTCAGATTGAGAGTACAGAACCATTTCTTCTTCTAGGACTAGGTCTGATTTTACCTTGTCTCCTCAGCAACCCTGGCCGGGGGCCTTCATATTCCCAAGTCACAGGTGGGAAATATAAGGCATTAAGGCACACAGAGAGGAAAGAACTTGTGCAAGGAAAGAAAGATTATGAGGGAGAGATGACCAAAGAGACCAGAAGAGAGAGAAGAGCACCCATGCCATCCTGCTTCTCTCTCTTCTCCTCCCTTCTTCTCCCCTTCCTTCTTCTATTCTCTTCTCCTGTGGCCCTGGATGCTCCTGGCCCAGTCCCAGCCCAGAAACAACTCCACAGGCCTTTTCCTCTTCAGCAGTTCCCTTCTCCATGCTACAAGCTTCCATGTGCCCTGCTCAGGACATTTTCTTTTCATGGATATGGTGACAAGGCCTCTGTAGGTTGAGGGAAGTTGCAGGGAGGCAAGGCTGTGGGAGCAGGGGCTCCAGAAGAGGCTCCAGCCCATGACTCCTCCCAATCCCAAAGTCCTAGAGCAGTCCATTCTTACCTGGGTCTTATTTGCACCCCCTGCGGCCTGGGGTCAGTGGCCACAGAGCAGTAGGACTCTGCAAGCTGGGGCTGGAGCCTGCAAACACTGTCCCAGCCTGAGTCTTGCTCCCAGGTTGCTGTGGGGTCCTCTGGGCTTTTCTATTTCTTGTCGTCTCCCTGGGTCACTCTCTTTCTGTTCAGGGCAGCTGTCCAGCCAGCACTGAACCCTCCCACTCCAAAGCCTTCTCCCAGGAGGCGGAGCCCGAGGGGGCCTCCAAGGTCTGGATATGGTGACATCAGCGTGAAGGGCGGGCTGTGCTGGGACTGAGACTAATGTCCAGAGGCTGCCCAAGGTGCTGTGTGAGGCACTGGCTAGCCAGCAGGGATGAAAGGCATGGAGGCCTCAGAAGGCCCTGCTGGCCAGTGTGGGACTCCGGCCTAGGATCACCCATCTGGGCCTCAGGGAACTCTTGTTATGTGTGTCACTACCTGCTGTCTCTGCATGGTTGAGATGCCTGATCTGGCCCCTCCCTGGTCATGATTTTTGCTCAGCTCCCAGTGACCTCCCCACAGCTCCCCTCCTCCCTCTAGATGGGCAGGCTTGGCAACACCGGACCCTTAGGGGGCATGACATTCAAAACAAGACTCCCCAAGATGTTTCCACACGAGGCTCTTCATCCCACCTCCACAGCTTGTTCTAGAGGGTCTTGTGTGTGCTATTTTCTGATTACCCAGAAATTTTGCCAAACTACCTGACCAGGAGCAACGTCTTACAGCAGAGAGATTCATCCAATGTGACACAAAATGTGTGATTTAAAAGGAGGCGAGAATGAACAGGATACAAAATACTCAAAAATAGGTGAGGAAGGTGGGCTGAAGGACTCCCTTCTGAGACCTGGCCCTTTCTCCTGCCCTCTCTTTTCCAGCAGAGAAGCTGCCTATGGAGTGAGGAATCTGTGGCGGTAGAGTTGGGCCAGAGGAGCAACGGCCCAACAGCGCCACCTGCTGGGCACAGTCAATTGCTACAAGACCAAGGCTGAGGGAGCAACTAGGGAAAGCGGCCTCTGCTGGTCAGCTTCCTCAGACCCCAGGGCGCCACAGTGCAAGGTAGTGCAGAGACCAAGGCTGAATGGCACCAGAGAAAGCATGAACCCCTTCCTCACCGCCTCACAGTCCACCCTACCTCTCCAGGCTCTGCCTGCCTTCTGTGCCACCTAGAAGAGGCATGAATTTCCACACCTGAGCCTTTTTAGGACACCACATCCAAACCATTGCAGACCTGGTCTTAGTTCATACCACCCTCACCCGCCTCTCACCCTTCAAATCGCATCCATCATTGCAGCATTCCATCCATATTGCTTTCTACAGTCCTAACCCAGCTTCTGCCCATGGCCCTGCCCAGGAATTCCTAGCTCTATTAACCTGCACCTTCCCAGTATCTCTGCTCTAGCCACCTGTGTCTATGGCCTGCCTGTAACTGCCTCCTCTCCCCTGGAACAGGACACGGGCCTGAACTGACAGGCTGAGACTTGGTTCCTAGGGGCTCCCGTACTATCCTGTCAAGAACACTACAGAGTCATGATCAGAGGACTTGTGCATCTCTCCAGTCGCTGGAAGGTGTTTCCAGAGCAGGGACTGTGCTTCTCCAGGGCCTGGAATGGGCAGGGCTCAGCAAAGCCAGTCCCACAGAGATTTGCAGCAGGGAACTTGAATGATTCCACAGAGTTCACCAGGCCACCAGCAAGGCCAGCCTCATCTGGGATTCAGCCACTCATTGTCCCTTCCCTCCTTATCCCCATCCCCCTGAGAGGGGGGAGATGAAACAGACAGACACAGGTCTTTCTAGAGTGGCAGTTAATATTTATTCTGAGACGATAACATGCCTGTGATGCCAGGGCACGGTGACCTGGAGGAGTGAAGGCCAGGCCCTGGTGGTCCATATAGTGTAGGCTGCAGGGTTGATCGCCTGCAACTGGCACACTATGAGGCCTTCTGGGTGCAAAGAGTGAACAAAGCCACTGCTCTCCATGCTCCACACTGTCCTCACCAGTCCAGTCCTCAAGGCTTCCTGGGGACCAGAGGTCCCTGCACAGCCAGGAGCCAGCCTGGCCTAGCTTAAGAGGGAGGAAGCAAGAACAGGGCTGCTGGCCCAGTTCTGCTGGATGTGGGAGGCAGTGGCTAACCACCGGGAGAAGCTTATACAAGTTTGCTACTTGGTCCTGGTTTGCCCTGTGCCTCAGGGGGATATGGCTGAGCTAAGACCCACATGTCAGGCCCTGAGACCCAAGATGGCACAGCAGCTTCGGACTCCTGGTTTACAATAGCCATTGAGAAGTGATATGTGAATGTGTAGAGTATACGATATAGAGACACACAGGAAGGGGTGTGACCTTGCTCTCAGTCTTGGAAGAGTCCCCACAAATAGGAGTCACCAGCCTCACGCTGCAGAGGGAGGAACTGAGGCACAGGAGGTTTAAGGGACTTGCTCCTGGTGGCATGCACAATCTCTGGACCAGGCCTAGGTCTTTGGAGGGAAGCCCCAATTGTGCAGGAGGAATTCTCTTATGTTTATTTCAGTGTCTAGCCCTTCCCATGGCCCAGGCTAGGAGCAGTGCTACCATGGAGCAAGATGGCAGTCAGATTCCAGCACCTCCAGCCAGGAAGAGGACCACACAGTAGGGATTGGAGACAGAAAGTCATATTCCCAAAAGGAATTCTGCTGTTGACCTAACTGTACTTTATCTACTAAGTCTGGTCTGGAAGCCCAAGGAGGGCACAGAAGGGACCCTGTGAGCCACAGCACCACTACTGAACAAGAGTCCCTCAGGAATGTAGTCTGCAAACAGCCTGAGGATGCCCAGGAACAAACATGATCATCTCCATCTTCCTTTGAGACTCCTCTGAGAAGGTCCCACTTCACCCATGCCCTTTCATGCTCAACATCAAAAGAAAAGCAGAGTAAAAACAAAATGAGTTTTAAAAAGAACAATGGGTAGGACAGACTTCCCTTTACAGAGATTTTTTTTTTTTAAATGCTAAGACTACCAAATGTTGAGGACTGAATGATGGTCTGGGCAGCAAGATCATGGTGGCCTCCTTGGCTGTCTAGGGGATGCTGGTGGAGAGGCCTCTGGTCAGGAGAGGGAAGTCCCTGCCTATGACACCCAACAGATGACATAACCCTGAAGGCCTGGCACCCCCCACCCTGGAGTCCTTTCTTCCAAGAAAACCCAGGATCTTTCAACAGAGGCAGTCTTATGTCCCCCTAGGGTCTCCCATAGCCCTACATTGACCTGCCTGGCCCGTGCCACTGCTTCCAACATCACAAGTAGAGATTGGGAAATAACTTTCTCACCAGTGTGGCCACAGCTCTTTAGGAGATGCGAGTGAAGTCAGGGGGTATCTGTCTCTGAGAAGACCTGAGGATGGGGAGGCCTAGGGCAGCTCTTTGTACTAACTGGACAAATCTATGTTGAATAACTGAATGGATGGCAGTGGGGCATTAGACAATGAGCAAATGTCTCCTGTATACTTCCCAGCAGGTGCCCACTAAGGGGTCTTTCAAGATGGTTCAAGAAGCGAGGTGTTGTGGGACTGGAGATGTAGCTCATCTGACAGAATGCTTGCCTAGCATACACAAAGCCCTAGGTTTGATACCCAGCACCATATAAACTGGTGTAGTGGTACATGCTTATAATCTCAACACGGGGAAAGTGGAGGCAGGGAGATAAGATTAAGGTCACTGCAAACTATACAGCAAAGACCTGGGAGGGGGGCTAGAAAACAAGAGGAGGGAAGGGACTTGGGACATGGCAGTTTGTGTGTAAACAAGTGACATCTTGGCACTCCTCGGCAGGCATCAGGGCCTGGGGAAATGTTTTCAACAGATAGCCCCTTAGCAGCAATGTCCACTGGCTAGAGAGTTACTTGAAATCTTAGGCAAGAAAATGTTCTCCAAACACTGAGGCTCAGAGAGGGACAGGGCTCTCCTCAGGTCACACAGTAGGTCAGTGAAGAGTGGGGAAGGGCCCCAATGTCTGGTTCCCAGGCTGGTCCCAGGCCAGGTGGGGACATGCAAGTAGTGGTGAGAGCTAGTGGGGCCAGGTAGGCGGCTGGTGTCACACAGCTGTGAGAGAGGCACTGCTGAGGATGCTCACAGTTATGGTGCCTGGCAAGTCTCTGGGCTGCTGACTTCGGTCCTGGAGGTGGAGGATGTGGAGGGCCTGCTGGTCTTCCGGGTTAGCCTTTAGGCACACTTGGCCCAGAAATTCATCCTTCAGGACTCGGCGATTCCAAATCTGAAAGGAGACAGTGGGTGGGGGAGGGATGTGTCCAAGACCAAAGATATAGTCTATGGCAGGTGGGGAGTGAGGGCAGGGCCCAGAAACCTCTTCCCTCAATACAAGCCCAGTCAGGGAGAAACCAGTGTCCTGAACTGAGGCTTGCCCCCCTTCCAGAGCCTTGGGCTCCTGTCAAAGCTCTTTACTAAGTAGAAAGCCCAACCTGTCACTACTAGCTCTAGTAAACTTGAACTGGAGGGTTAACTTGGACTTGACCTAGTTCTGTCCCCAGGCCCTTTTTCTTTTGTTTGTTTGAAACAAGATTTCACTAGGTAGTTCTTGCTAGCCTGGAACTTGCTCCGCAGATCAGGTTAGCCCCAAACTCAGAGTTCTGTCCACCTCTGTCTCCTGAGTGCTGAGATTAAAGATGTGTACCACCACACTCAACACCTCATTTTTAATACTCAGGTTGAGTCACCTGCCCCTAAGGGTCCTTCCAGCCTCAATAACTACCAGTCAGTGATTTGACCCAGTGGGGACAAGTGCTAAGAACACTTGGAAAATCTGGTAGCTCCCCTGGGGTGCTACACATTTGTTTACAGATGGTTTCTCACCCAGAGAGAGGCTGCTCTGTGCCTGGGGGACAGAGGGCTTCCTGGTAATGAGCTCAGTCATGGTGGCCTGAGAGAAAGCTGTGTGCAAGGATACTGGTATTCGGATTCCCTCCTCAGGGCTGGTAGGAAACAGCTACAAGCTACATGTGATCTCAGTGTCACTATGAGGAATAGTGACCTTGGCTTGGACCTCTGACTCCAGTTGGAAGACCAACTTGCTGCCTCTCAGATATAGATTGAATGGGGGGGGGTAGGGGGGAAGACAACTGAAGCTAGCACCACCCGGTCCTTGTGGCAGGCTCTTCTGCCCTGGACTCCACCCCTTGGAGTGAGGGGCGGGGCATGGGAGGGGACAGCATGGGCTTGTGAGCGCCTTACCTGCACGGTGATGGGCTGAGTCAGCTTCTTGCGATAGAAAATGCCTTTCACATTGTACTCTGGTGTCGAGGTCCCTTTCTGCACAGCTGAGCGAACCTTTTCACCCTCACACTTGATGATCACATATGAGTTTGCCCCTGGAGAAAGGATGGGTTGGGGCTGGGGTAAGGATGGGGCTGGTGCAGAGCCTAATAGGACAGGTGTCTGGGAGGGAACGTGCCAACCTGGTCTTAGTCACAAAGGGGGAGACAGGAGCCTGATGCACCTTCCAGACCAGAGTCCTCTACCTTCTAAGGCCAGGCAGAGGAAGGAGTGCTGGCGGCCTCTGGCCTGCAGTCCTTGTACACAGGTTTTACATCTCAACACCTTGGCTAGAGAAAGGCCTTCTCCCCAGAAAGCCTTTTTGAACCCCCAGTGTCTACCTGATGTCCCCACTAGATGGGGTCTCCTAGAAGCTCACATCACCCCCTGGATGGCTGGGCCTGCAGAGTAAGTTCTGTAGGTGCTGGGGTCTGTTTTGAAGGAGACAGATCCTGAGGTAATCTCTGGGTGAGCTCACCTGCTGGGAAGCGCTTGAGGCCAGCAGCCTGCAGGACATGAATCTGGGTCACTTGTTGGGGGTAGCCACACAGGGAGGTCCAACAGGTGTGAGGGGGCTCATCCAGGCGTAGCTCCCTGATACAGGGCAGGGTAGGGGGACAGACAGGTGGGGAAAGATGTGAAGTTCAAAGTCAGGAGCAGTATTTACTGTAAACATTCATGCCATCCAAAGCCAAACCTCATGGCAAACCCAACCATCCACCGCCACAGGCTTCCAGTCTCTCTGTTCCAGGGTCTTATCCTCTTGGAGTGACCACAGTGAACTTGGCATTTCCTGCATGCCACATCCTCTGCTGGGAATTATAGATATTATTTCTCATCCTCAAAATGGTTTTAGTAGCCCACTGCCCCCCAAAGTCAGTCTCCATGGGGCAGGTGACAGTGGTGACAAGACCCACCCTAAAATCCAGGTGGGTGGGTGGCTCAGCCCATATTATCACAGACAGCATGGGGTTGGACCCTCTTTTTAGAGTTGGTCCCTATTTTCATCTACAAAATGGAGTGGGGTAGACCTCCTATTCAGGGTGTGGGAAGATAATAAAATAAGTGAAAGCCATTTTATAAACTGAGTCACTGTTCCTAGTCAGGACTGAGAGAAGCTGAGCAGACAAGCAGGGGAGGAGAGAGGCAAGGGACGCCCATCTCTGAGGATATTGGTATCTAAGCACTATGCCTTGAGCAGACACAGACAGGCTAGGGCTGTGGATTCCACTAGGCCCAGCATGGACTATACTGTCACCAGCCCCAGCCCCCACACACCGGCAGTTAGAGGGTACATCTGTGAAGACTCGGAGCAGGAACTCGCCAGTGTGGCCTGGTTCAAAGGTGGTAGGGATGATGACATAGCGGCCCTCAGCCTGCTCTGTCCGCAAGAAAACACTACGAGAGTTGATGTAGATGGAGCTGGCGGCCTTATGCTGCAGGCTATGCATTCGGTACTGGCGGTTCTCTTCCACCTGTGTGGAGATAAGAAGAGATGGGCCATATGTAGCCATTTCCCACTGGCCACCATGAAAGGATCAGTAGGATATATGGATACAGAATGTCCAAACCTAGCAAATCTATAAAGACAAAATCAGGTTAGTGTTTGGCTAGGGCAGAGGAGAAGGGTGTAGGAGCACAGAGTCCTTGCGCTCACAGGTAAGCATTAGGGAAACCAGGAATGTCAAACATGCAGTATTGTCTCTTCAAAGAGAGAAATGTATAGCCTGTCTTCCACTCAGAAAGGCTGGGAGTGGAGGTAGTTAATAGCCTGGTGACCTTTGCACTGTCTATTGACTGAGACCACAACAGGTCCTCCCCACGACCCTTAAGATGTAGCCAATCTATAGAACCTTTCTTTATGGAAGATGTCACATGTAGTCATGTCTTAAGCTTTATTGTGCACCAGGAAACTTTTTTCCAAATTGTGCTGTTCTTAATATGACTGAAATAAACCACCTGGTGTCAAGACTCTTGAAGTTTGAACCAGCACCAGCTACTAAGTTGTGCTGAACTGGAATTCCTTCTTGCTTGACATGGATCAACACTCTGTTGGTCATGGTGTTTGCAGAGACCACCCCCCCAAAGGTCTATTGGATTGGGTGTCCATGATCTACTGGAATGGACCTTCTTTTCACAGTGATGATAATCTAGTGATGCCATTAGGGCATATGCTTTAGACTGCTCAATTTGACTGACTGTGACTTTTACCTCAAGAAAAATTATTTAAAAGTGGGGGTGGTAATCCCAATGACCCTGAACATTCTTTTTAATTTAACTTTATTTTTTGTATGGGGGGCATGCATGCTATAACACACATGAATTGGTCAGAGGGCAACTTTGTGGAGTTCTATACTTCCACCTTTACATCCAGGGATCAAGCTCATGTCATTAGGCTCCAGCTTCAGGTGCCTTTACCTGATGAACCATCTTGGTGGCCCTTCTCTTATTTTGTTTCGTTACATTTTTGAGACAAAGTCTCTTATAGCCCATGCTTGAACTCTCTTTGTAATTGAGATTGTCCCAGGGCTTCTGATTCTCCTGCCCCAGCCTCCTAAGTGCTGGGATTACAGGCATTTGCCATCATACCCAGCCTGACCCTGGAGTTTTATCACAAAGGCATTGGATGCAGGAGTCCCCGACCCCCACCCCTGCTTAGCCATAGTTCCACTTTCTATGATTTTGGTTACCGACAGTCAACCATGCTCTGAAAATAGCAGAAGGAAAATCCAGAAATAATTTAAGTATTTTCAGTTCCAGATGTGCTGAAATCCTGCACCACTTCGCTGTATTCATTTGTTTGGCCAGTGCTGCTACACTGTGTACTGGACCTGTGCATTAACTGCTGTCTTCCTTATGGCTACGGTATGGTGCTTCCTGCAGTTTGGGACAACCACTGGGAGTCTCAGAACTTATCTTCATAGTTTGGGAGGTCTACTTATCATGATACGCCTTATTCCCAGCCCAAATTCATGAAATGACACCACCATCTGCCAGGACATCCTGAAAAAACACTGTATGCTACAGTCAAATCAGTGCAAGCTATGACATGGCACAAAGTGACACAGAATGTCAATACACTGTGAATAAGCCCACACAGGGGAGTGAACAAATAGTTGCCAAATATTGCCATAACCATTAAGTGCTGGGAACCATGTATCTACATCCATGTGGGTTCTGACATGTATATGGAGACCTGTCATGCTAACTATTTTCCCACACTAAATGTCACATGTGGAGGACAACAAGCCAAGGGAAATGGCCATGGGTGAGTCTACCGTCTCTAGACAAGGTCACCTACTTGGCAGACCAAGAGGTTGCAAAGCTTCCAACACAAGAGGCTACAGGAGATGAGAGGCCCCACCCTGAGGGAGGGGGAGGGAGAAGGGGGCCATCAGGCATACAGGACCTCACAGAGCCAACAGCTAGTATCCCTCACCACAAGTGGCGTTGGCCTACAAGTTTCACCTTATAGATGTCGAAGCCGATAGCCAAGTTCTCGCCTTTGCCTTCTACTCGAGTTGAACGCTTGGGCCGCTGCTGAATGCAGATCAGTATTTCATCTTCTGGCTTCTTGACTTCAAATATGTACTATGGCGTGGCCATAAAAAGAGAGCCATGGTAAGACCGGTCAGCCTCCTGTGCCCCCAAAAACCTGGACTCCAGGGCTAAGCCTCAGCCATGTTGGCAGCATAAGCTTGGGCCACGTCCCCCTCCCCCCCATCAGCTCTGAGTCAGTCCCTTCTCTGGGAGATGAGCCTATTAATGCATACAGTGGCCACCCTGCCTGAAGACTGGGAGAGCTCAATGAGATGGTAAGTGCTCACCTCAGGGCCTGGTACACAGTTGGTGCTCAGTAAGGACACATTGGGTCTAAGGACTAAGCACATGGCCTACGACTGAGGAAGCTGCTGGGGAGAATTCTGGGGGTGGGGAAGGCACAGTCTGGCCACATTTCCTGGGAAGAGTCAAACTGTGCTACTGTGAAAACAAGGGACCTGACCACTACTTTGGCCTCTAACTGTACCTGAGACTCTGGACAAACACTTCTAAGTCCCTGAGAGCCAGTTTTCTCATTGTGACCATGTGCAGTGCATATGCCCTAATCCCTAACCCTGAACCCTAACCCTAACCCTGGGCTGGAGAAATGGCTCAGCAGTTAAGAGCATTGCCTGTTCTTCCAGAGATCCTGAGTTCAATTCCCAGCAATCACATGATGGCTCACAACCACTTGTAATGAGATCTGGTGCCCTCTTCTGGAATGCAGGCATACATGCAGATAGACACTGTATACATAATAAATAAATTAATCTAAAAAAAAAAAAAGACTGGGACATCATGAACCCAGACAGTGTCCACCAGGCCCTCTCACTGCACAGATAGTCATAATGAAGCTCAAAGATAGTCAAGGACATTCCTAAATGATGCAAAGGCCCCTGGCAGGACAGTGGTGAGGTCTCACAGCTGCTACAGGGTGCAGCAGGGTGGGGTCCTTGCAAATGCCCACCTGTGGGTTCTGGAAGAAAGTGTCCTTGTAGTTGACACAACCTCCACTTCGGTCCTGCTTTGGGTTCCCATGTCTCGTCCAGGCACCACGCAGCTGGACCTCCTCCCACGTCTTATGGAAGCTCAGATAGGACGTGTTAATCAGACGGCACTTAATGATGTCGGTAAAGTACCGGCACACGTCCTCGAAGGTCATCCTGAGTGTAGGAAGGCACTGAGCTGGGTGAACCCCATAATACCCTTAACCACAGCTCCACAGAAGCAAGCTGGATACACCGCCACCAAGACCCCAAATCTCTCTTGGGCCTCAATTTCCTCATTTGTCAAATGGGGATGAACCTACTAGCAGCTGCCTGTCTCCCAGGGCTGGCAGGGGATTGAGCAAATGAGATCGTGTAGCACTGTTCCAACACAAAGAGCAGCTGGCATGCTGGCTGTGACAGCTGTCCACAGTGTCAATGACCAGTGTGCCCATTTTGAGATTGTACTGCAAGGTATGGCGTGCACATGGAAGTCAGAGGACAGCCTATGGGACTGGTTCTCTCCTTCCACCATGTGGGTCCCAGGGACTGAAGTGAGGTTCTCAGGACTGACAGAAAGTGCCTTCTCATCAGCCCCACTGTGTGCAGGGCCAGGGGAAGTGCACGGTATGAATATGCATCAGAAGGGCCTTTAAGCAGCCATTTCCATGGAGGAATGATGTTATTGTTTTAACTCAACTGACTCCTAAATCAGATAATAGTGCAGACTGGAGGGCCTGGCTAGCCTCCCCCACATCCGAAGAAGGGGGCTTCATTAAGATACTAGTATCACTGTCATCTGATCCTGGCTGGCCTGGGATCTGCATGGCATCTACCTCACACCAGGTATCTTGTGCCTTTCTCTCCCATAGGTGGCTGAGTCTCCTATCAAGTGTGCTGTGAAGAACAGCACTGCACTGGGACAGAGTCCAGACAGAAAGGTGGTGGAATGGATTGGGGGGGGGCTTTAAGAAAATGAATGGATTCAAGGGATGCACATAGGGGAATGTGTACAAAGGAAGGGATGCACATAGGAGAATGAACAGGTATGGGACGGAGGGGAGGAGGGGATGGATACAGGGGAATGAGAGGTGTAGGGGGCTGGATATAGGGAATGACTGAATTTATGAATGAACAGGAACAGGATGTATACAGAAGAATGAATGGATGCAGGTGGATGAGTAGGTGCAGGGGGTGCACACAATAGGATGGATGGAGAGACTGGATGTGAGGAATGGGCACAGAGTGATGGATTCAGAGGGTCATGGGTTCAGCAAATGGATGCAGGGAGTTCGAGACAGATACAGGGAAGGACCGACCACAGGTACAGAGGAATGGATGCAAGGGAAAGATGTAGGGAATAGATACAGATGATTGAATTAGGGGAATGGACCTGGGGTGGACACAGGGTGGAAACTGGGAATAGGTTCAGAAGGTTGGATGAAAGAGATGGATGACTGTCTGCTGGCCCTGTGTTCTGCTTGCTGGGACTAGCCTGGGAGTCAGAACAGTCCCAGTGTCCCTCAGGTGTACAGAGAGGACACGGGGCAAAAGGATCCATCATAGCACAACTCATCTTAGAGAGGAGGAAACAGGTCGGAGAGGTAGTGTGATCTTTCCAAGGCTGCATAGCAAACTGTTGATGACTATGGAGCCCTGGCTCCTGGCTCTCTGTCACATGCTCCCTGCTAGGCCCCAGGAAGTTCTGCCTCAGCCCAAATTCAGGATAAGAGGGCACTCACCAAAACTCGCCATCATCTTGCACAGTCACGCCCATCTTCTCCCGCTCACTCTTGCTCACTTTCTTCCACTCCTGTGAGCTGGGATGTGAGTATCATGGAGGAAACAGCATAAGAAGGGCCTGCTAGGACCACCTCCCCAAGAGACAGCTCTGGGCCAAGTAGTGTGGTAGAGAAACTGGGGGGTCATGTCCAACCCAGCTCCAAGAAGCCTCCATTCCCTCCCACTGAAGATTGTATCCGTCTTTGTGCCAGGGTTGGCAAGTCAGGGCGTAAAACTGGGATGAGGGCATCAGCGCCATTCAGAGAGCTAGTGGCCTCCCTCCCCACAGGTCAAGGTCAGTTCACCCTTCTCCAGGCCACTGTCCTTGACGACCCCACCCCCAGACACCACACATACACTGGAAAGTAAGTGTTCTGTCTTTTCCTCAGGCCATCTATCTCCCCCAGACCCTGCAAGACCCAGTCTGTGCCTGGACCCACCCCAACCCAGGGCCTCACGTGTCGCTCCAGGGGCCGTTCCACTCCCGCTCGCCCCAGGGGTTCCGTAGGCGGATCATGTCCAGCTTCTCTGACTTGAAGAAGGCCAGCAAGCCGTGGCCCAGGCGCACCTTGCGCACATCAGTGACAGCATACGCATGGCCCTTCACCAGGCCACATGCCAGACGGGCCTCCATGTCAGCTGCTGTCACAGCCTGCAAGAGAACAAAGGTGCTCAGGCAGGAGGGTCACACTGTAATCCAAACTAAGGCACTGGCGCTAGACCAAGGACCACATCGCCCCCTTCAGGCAGGGATGGTAATTGCAGTCGTACAGAAAGAACTTTGGTCAGAACCCCAGAGGACCAACCACCTGCAGATGCCATCCCAGAGAATTCTGGTGCCAACTTGCCCCAGGGAAGCCAATTGCTACATATTTACAATTTTTCAAGTCTCAATGCAAAGGCCCAAGTGGCCTAGAATTCTCTTTGTAGACCAGGCTGGATTTGAACTTGGGGCAACCCTGCTGTGTATGCCTCGAAAGTCCCAAGTACTGAGATTACAGATGTGTGGCACCATGCCTGGTGGTAATGCTCAGGAATTTTAAGAGCTGTTTGTGAGATCATGGGCAATAGGAAACTGATGGCAGTATTTACTCCACGGAACTCAGTAGATACCACAAATCAGGGCTCCCCGTTTCTAGAGAGCCAGATGACCAGGCACACAGACAGCTGCTTTTTTTTTTTTAAGGTTTATTTATTATGTATACAGTGTTCTGTCTGCATGTATGCCTGCAGGCCAGAAGAGGGCACCAGATCTCATAACGGATGGTTGTGAGCCACCATGTGGTTGCTGGGAATTGAACTCAAGACCTCTGGAAGAGCAGTCAGTGATCTTAACCTCTGAGCTATCTCTCCAGCCCCAGGCAGCTGCCTTTCAAACCTTGCCTCCACCTGAACCCACCTATCTCCCAGAAGTGACTGCCCAGAGGGCACTCTTGAAGACCAGCTTCGGGCTACCTGCCCTAGGAACTGATTCCCTGCCCTCTTCCAGCTGCCCCTAAACTTTTGACACCATATGCCTTGACAATGTGCCACAAAGACAAGGATACAAGTGTCCAAAGGAGTCTGAAGGGGGTCTGTATGGTGCTGGGGCATTGCATACTGCAGGGGGTTAAGGCTGGATTTGCATTGCTGCTTGGCACCGAGGACAGGGATCTGTGCTCTCCAGCTACTATGTCCCCCATGGGCCCAAGGGTCAGTGTGATGATCTGGCCCGGGCCAGACTCAGCCCCACTCCCTCCCATCCCAGGCTTGGGTCTGCCCTGCACTCCTACCTTGATGGAGGCACTGATGAGGCCGCCTCTGCTGTGCACCTTCAGCATCCGTTCAAAGAGTTGATTCCTCTTGGCTTCATCATTGGCAAAGTTCCCTTCGGTCAGGTCGATGGGTTCAGAAACACCACCTGTGAAATCTACTAGTGCGTCGGCAGTGTTGCCTCCATCCAGGGCCTGGTAACAGCCTGCCAGCCTGGGGAACAATAGGCAGGGAATTCCAAGTTCAGGCTCCCAGGCAGATCTAAATCTTTTACCTCACACAGGAGCTGTCTGAAGCTCAGAAATCAAGGCAAATGCCACCTTCTCACAGCAAGCCACAGCACAGCCAACAATGGAGCCAATAACTCCAAGGCTCACTCTGTCCAACTGAACACCACCATCAAATTCCCAACTCAAATTCCCAACAATTCTGTGTAAATAATATAATTCCTAATGATACAAATGTACAACTCTAAGGAACTGGTTTTTAAAAACAAATGCTGTATCTATGCTCTAGAACATTCCAGAAAGTATTGGAAAAGAATCTTTGGGGAGGGAAAAATGCTAGTGTTTGTTATGTTTGAAAAAACAGAACAGCTGGATTCTAGTTGTTTTGAGGGGTAAGTAATAACTCCTTAGAATAGCTTCTGTCCTGGAGAGATCAACTGTGTGTGGAATTGGGAGCTCTGTAACAGTTTCCTTGAGGGAACTTTAAAAAGATATTAAAGCATTTGCTATGTGTGGCACAGTGAATGTGAACTTGAGTAGCAGAGAGATACCTAGCAGAGGAACCATGAGTATACACTGAAAACACACAGCAGTGCCACACTATGTAAGGGTGCCTACAAACAAAGACGCATGTTAAAAGAAGCTGGCCTGTAACCTCAGCAATAGGAGTTGGGAGTTCAAGGCCAGCTTTTGCTACACAGGGAGTTTGGGGAAAGCCTTCATGAGAGCCTGTCTCACAACAACAAAAATGATACTGAAAGAACTGTCCTTGATAGAGGAAGGGGGGATAAAAGAGGTAGCTGGAGGCACAGATGCCAACAGTGGTGCTGCCTAAAACCGGAAGGCATGTGACCTTCATGTTTTTCTATACATTTTGGATTTCTATACTTTTGATCTAAAAGGCACATGCTGGTTTTACAACTTAAAAAGTAAATAAGAACTGGGGAGGTGGTTCAGTGGTTAAAGCAATTGTCTGTAAAGTCTGAGGGCTAGAGTTCAAATCCCCAGAAACCATTTAAATGCAAGTGGATATGGGGTCCCACCTGTGATCCTAGCCTTAGCAGGCAGAGACAGGATCCCGAGAGCAATATGGCTAGCAAGAATAGCCATATCAGTGAGCTCTGGGTTTGAGAGACCCTGCCTTAGTGAGCGAAGTGAAAGAGCAAGCCAGGTATTTCCAGCACTGACCTTAGGACTCCACAGGCACATACACATACATACACACATACTCACACATGAGTGTACAAGTATGTGCCTAAGTACAATACACACACAGAGAGAGGGGGGTGGGGGGATAAAAATTAAAAGTAAATAAACAAAAAAGCAAGTATGAAATAGTGCAGCAATATGGAGAGTTCCTTAAAAAGTTACATCTTGAACACGACCCAGAAGTTCCACTGCTAGGAAACACTGGGAAAGGGTAAAATCAGAGACTTAGACACCTGAATACCCATGATGACAGTGGCACTATTCACAGCAGCCGAGAGGTGGACGCTGCCCAACTGTCAATCTGCAAACAAATGCAGTGTGACAGAGAGCGCCAGTGGAATAGTTCTCAGCCTTGACACAGCCAGACCTTGAAAATACCATGCTGAGTAAAAGAAGCCAGACCCAGAGGAACAAATATAGTAGGAGTCCCCATATATGAGGCACCCAGGATAGGTAGATTCATAGGTAAGAAGAGCAGGACTTCAGGCTACGGTAACAGGAAAGGGGAGTTATTGATTAATGGGGAAGAATTTCTGCTGGAGCGGGGCGGGGGGGGTGTGTGTGTGAAAAGATTTTGGATGTAGGCAATGGTGATAGCACTGTGGGCAGTAGTTATTGGACAATGAATTTGTGGCTTAGGGAGAAGAACTGTGTGTGTGTGTGTGTGTGTGTGTGTGTGTGTGTGTGTGTGTGTGTGTGTATAAACAATAAAACCTTATTTAAAAAAACAAAAACAAAAGCTAAAACTGTAGCTCCGTGGTGGAGCACTTGCCTAGCTCGTATGAAACCTTCTACTGAAGTCCCTCCAATGGCAGTGGAAATACACTGGCCACCAACAGACTGGCTCTCCTTTCTTAGGGTTAAATTCTCAGGTGTTTCTGGATTTGTTTTTCCTTTTCTTCCTCTCTTCCATGCAGGCTCTTGAACTCAAAGTCTCTCTGCCACTTCCCACCCCTTCACAGACATCCTCCAAAGGTCTAGGAAGAGGCTCCTTCCGTACTGGCTGAAACCAGCTGGCAATTCCTGCCCCCAAATGTCCCACTCTTCAGCACAGCTTTGCTGGTGCTCATTCTGGGCCAGGTCCAAGAGGAAGACAGGAATCTGGCCCATGGTCCAACTTCCAGACCAGATCTCAGGTGCCGCATCCCAGGAAGGGTCTCCAGAGGAGTTTGGCAGTGTGCAGTTGAGGGTAAGATCTACTGCCATAAACGTGAGTATCAGCCTTGCCCCAAATGCTGCAGGATACCTGACTGGGCCCCATCTTCTCCCAGTTTTTCCCCTCAAAGTTCAAGTCTCCACTCCACTCATAACAGACCTAGCAGGTAGGCTCAAGGACGTAGGCTCTGTACAAGCTGTGGATACCAGCTCCTCACCTCTCTGTGACAGGAGCCTTTCCTAAGAGCCTACAGCCTGGCAACTTAGTCTGATCATCCCACCTGGTGATCCCACCCAGATAGCTCCACCTGGTCAACCCACCTGCTGATCCCACCCAGACAGCTCCACCTGGTCAACCCACCTGCTGATCCCACCCAGACAGCTCCACCTGGTCAACCCACCTGGCCACCCCGCCTGGCCACACCTACTTGGCATAGGCCTTCTCCACCAGGGCACACCAGAACTCATTTCTGGAGTTGGAGTGGCAGTAAATGAGCTGGTTGTTGACTGTGGGCAGCCGGTCATCGATGACCACATCCACCCACTCCCCGAAGCGCCAGAATTGGAAATGGAAGATGCCAGCATAGGCATCAGGCTTCTCAGGGTTCCATTCCTGCTCCTTCCAGTCTGGAATGACCTAGGTGGGGAAAATGGAGACAAGATGAGGACATCAAGAGGCATCTGGCTCCTGAGGAAAAGGGGGTACATGTCCCCCCAAAAACAGCAGTCCTGGATTCCATCCCATCGCTGCATGGACATTGTAAGACTTGGGAGCACTCTGGTCTTGGGACCTGACATGTCTGTCAGAGCCAGAGACTCAGGCACCTTCTAGCCAGTGTTGTAAGATCCTAAAGGCTTCCCTCCCTACAGCCCTCCTCACATCTGTTCCACCCACCCCTCCCCACAGCCCTCCTCACATCTGCTCCACCCACCCCTCCCCACAGCCCTCCTCACATCTGTTCCACCCATCCCAGCCATCCAGGCCAGTCCCACATGGAAACCAGTGGCCATGCCAGACTCCTCATGGTCTCCCTTTCCACCTAAGCATGTCCTCCCAGCTCCCGCCTTTCTGCCAGCACCACTTTGACCCCCCTCACCATCTTTGGCTCCCAGACACTGAAACAGCATTGACGCTCACAGTCACCCTGGCCCTACTCAGTAGCAAACTGACAAAATGATGTCACTGCCCTAAGATGCCTCTCCACCCAACCTCACTTTATCCACTCATGGTTCCCAGTGCAGCTCCCTGCCCTCATCCTCACATTCCTCCTTCAGTGGCCACTTTGTTGTCCAGGAAGCCCTCCTTAATTCTAGACCAGAGAGGAACCCCCACCCCTCAGCCTCTGGGCCAAGCACATCTCTAAAATCCATACTTTCACTGGGTTAATAGACCAAGTGCCCATGTCGCACTTTATTCAAGGTCTGATACTGTCTGGGAAGGGTCAGCTCCATGGGCAGAGCCCCCCACCTGGCCCGGTGCATGTGTGTTACATATATGATGACTGAACGAATAAACTCACAGACACCCATTTGGGCTTTAATCTAGTATTTATGGAGCATCTTACAAATGCCAAGGCTTGGGCCTGACACAAATAGGTCAAAGTAATTTCCACAGTGGCTCCATAAAGAGATTGCTATTACCCATCTTGGCTTGACAAGTGAAAAAATGATTGCTCAGAGGGGGCAAGTCAGACCCAGAGTCGCAGAGTTTGGAAAATAACAACAATAAAAGCACATGTTCTTTGGAGGGTTTGAGTTTAGAATTCAAGCCCAGGCCTGTGTGTTTGCCGATGAGTTATTTAGCAGTATGAACCACTGTGTAGGCCCTGGACTGTGCTAAACATCAAGGACCAAGATGACCAGACATAGTGCATTCCCTCAAGAAGCTTTGAGTCTGGTGGGAAAGGAAGTCACAAAAGCACCCATGGTTTGGAGGGGAGGGGGAATAGGGAGTACCCTGGAGCTGCCACAGCTATGGGAAGATGTCCTCGGAGCTGGTGTAAGTGTCTCCCAAGGACACAGGACAAACAGAGGTCATCTGAACAGCAGGAGGCAGACAGGGAAGGGGGATAACTCAGCCCTCTGTGTCAGGGTGACCAGCTCATCCTGCTACGTATGAACAAAGCACAGCTGAGCCCCATCTGGAGCACAGGCAGTACTTTCTGGAAGAAAGTCACTCTGGCTCAGGTAGCAGCGTCTAGGCACACAGGCTGGGTTGGCACACAGCTGCAGCTTAACTGAGAGGCTGTGCTGCTTGGAGCCTCCACCCTCACACTCATTAGGGATGTGTTGTTTACACAACTTACACTATCAATGGGGACACAAGCAAAGGAGAGTAGTCTCTAGTGAGGTGAAGATGCCAACTCTGGGGAGAGGCACTACCATCCCTCCTCTAGAAGGAGCCCTGTGAAGAGTCAGGCATAGGCCAACTGTTTACTGTGGTGTCCCCACATCATAGCTTTGCAGGATGATGCCCTGGGAAGTTGTTGGCAGAGGCTGCTGTAAGCAAGGTTCTAACATAGGTTTAGCAACCTTGGCCCAGGTTTGTAAGCAGGCATCGGCCAGTATCGCCAGCCACTCCTTTTCCTCTCCTTACCTCTACACCCAACTCTGTGACCTTTTAAAATAAAAGCTCCCTAGTTGACCTCTACCCTAACCCCTTGTACTGCCTCCCTAGCTTTCTTTAAAGGCAGAACACTGGTTAAAAAATGGGGCCTAGACAGACGGTGGTGGTACACGCCTTTAATCCCAGCACTCGGGAGGCAGAGGCAGGCGGATCTTTGTGAGTTCCAGGCCAGCCTGGTCTTCAAAGAGAGTTCCAAGACAGTCTCCAAAACCTACAGAGAAACCCTGTCTTGAAAAAAAAGGGGGGGGCTACACAAGGTGGGGTCATCCCACTGCACAGATGGGAAAGCTGAGGTCCAGAGATGACAGGGTTTGATGATGACAAGGTGGGGTCATCCCACTGCACAGATGGGAAAGCTGAGGTCCAGAGAAACTGTCCAAACATACAGAATCATACCCAATGGCAGAAAGCTACGCCCAAGGCCACTCCCCCGAGACCCTGCCCTGGGTGCTCTGGACTGTGAGGGAAGGGAGGAGGAGGAGCCCTCAAAGGGCATGGGGAGGTATACTGGGACCTGGGAGGATCATTAGTCAAGTGCAGGGCTTGGTCCTGAGCCCAGTGTGGCCCAAGAAGCAGCTAATGAGGCTCCAGGGCCAGAGACCCAGAGTCAGGATCCCTGGAGGCCTCAGGTTCTCCTCCTGCATCAGAGCCATTAGAATTGGCATGGGGTGGGTTCCACAGTAGCTTTTCACCCTCAGTCTCTCTGCTACCTGCTGGGCAATGAGGGTGGGAGGAGACAGTCCAAGCACATCTGTTCATATGACACATCTGGCTGTGTCACAAATCAAGGAGGTCCCCAGCCTCCCTATCTAGGCCAAAAGATTCAGGAAGCTGCTACAAATAGACCCGCCTGCGTGAGCTTTAGGAAGGGAATGGCAATGCACTGAACACAGTGAACATGTTTGAGTTCATGAGGTCACAAACACAGAACAGTCACTACCAGAGACAGGTAGCGATGGGAAATGTAAAGACGAAGAATGAAACACTACCCTGCCTTTCTTTGCATAGCCAACCAGAGGGCAACCAAAAAATGGAGGAGGGTCTCTGTCTGGAAACAAATCCCAGGTAGGAAGTGTGGCAGAAAGGACTTCAAAGCCATTGATGGATTAATGGATGTGGGTATGCAACCCTAGCACTGGGTTGTGGGGCAGAGGTGGGGGGGTTTGAGACAGGAAGACTGAATTCTAGGCCTGCCTGGGCTAGACCCTGTTTCAAAGAACTCATAAGGGCTAGGAATGAAGCCCACTGGTGGAGCGCTTGCCTAACATGCAGGATGGGCAACATGGGTTGGATCCCCAGCACCAAATAATCCTGATGTGGCATCTCATGCCTGCCATCCCTGGACTTAGGAGGTGGAGGAAAGAAGACCAGAAATTCCCACATGGCTTCATACCGTGTTCTAGGCTGGCCTCATATATGAGACCCTGTCTGAAAAACATTATCCAATGGTCACTTCATATCACATAGTGGGGGGCAAGAGGACAAGATATGACTTCTGCATTAATCTTATCAAGCCTCTGGGACAAATCCTGGGTTACAGCAGAGCCAGAGAACATGTCAAATGTCCTATGAGGACACAGTCAACAAAATCCACCCAGTGAGAAATCCACACAACGAATGACCCAGTTTCATCCATAAATACATTGCAGGGGAAATGAAAAGAAGGGAGGGAAATTGGGCCATGGCTCTGAAGGACTTCTGTTGGGATCCCATTTAAGCAAACTGCCAAACCTGTGTATCTTCGAAACCAGTACCCTGACTGTATTTAATGATTCAAGGTAGGCACCCCTAATCTGAGAGCCTAAACTCCCAAATCTGAATGTTTTGAGCATGATGTTCAGAAGATCTGAGAGTCTGGAGCTGTGGGTTTGGGGTTTCAGATTAGGAATACACAACAAGAAAAGTATATCTAAATAACAAAACCCCTGAAATCTGGAATTGGGGTTCCAAACATTTCTGACTGTCTTTAAAACATTATGGTTGAATATTAGTATCATAGCAAATATATTTACTATACATATTTAAAAGTTAATGTGTATGGGTATGTTGCTTGTATGAATGCCTGTGTACCTCTTGTATGCCTGGTGACTGCAGAAGCCACGAGGTACAGACAGTTGTGAGCCACCATGTGGGTGCTGGGAATTGAACTCAGGTCCTCTGGAAAAGCAACTAGCACTCTTAACTGCTGAACCACCCCTCCAGCCCTATAACTCCGAATCTTTTAAATGATTCCTTCTCCTTTAGGACTATACCCATCAACATCTGTGGATGAGCTGATGTGGGGAGGTGTGAGGAGTACAGAGGCAGTAAGACAGAGTGGCTGCTCTGAAGGGACACTCTGCAGTCCCCATCTGTCACCGGGACACCACAGCATGAGCTGGCAGTGGGAACCTGCTCATCTTCTCACTCCATGCCCCAACATTTCCTCCTTGTAGGCCCCACAGAAATCTACTATGATTGCACAACACCTCAAGATGCCTCGTGGCATGTCCTGTGTGCCTGGCTCTACATGTACTCTCCCTTCCTTTATCCCTGAGAGGCTAACCCTTGGCAGCTGGGCAGCCCCTCCTGGCTCCCCAGCACTAATCTCTTTCACCCACTTGGAGGGATCCTTAATGGGGCTACAGCCAAATGTGGTTCCTGCTCAGATTCCTAGCACCCAGTACAGGGCCTGGCCCAGCACTGAAGCTGGAAAATGTGAATGCTGATCGGAGTGAGGACCTTGTGTGTGTGTGGGGTGGGGGTGGGGGGAGATTAGGGGGGTCCCACAGCGCCCTCTGGTATTGAGTACCTTGGGTACTTCTCAGACTAAAGAGCCTGGCTGGAATCCCCGGTGGGCAGCACCTGTCTATGCTGGTCTTTGGGGGTCAAGAGCCCAGGAGAGGTGACATTGCCTAGGACCTGTGTGTAGTGTGAGCAAGTGTGAAAGTGAGTGTGAAGAAATGGGGACAGGCTGGAGCTTTTCGGATCTCCGCCTTAGATGCCAGGGCTAACTTAGGGCACTTCTGAGCAACCCTGATGAAATGGCAGGGTGGGGGTTACAAGGGGGATTCTGTGTCTCTCCACTGGCAGCCCCCCCACACTCTGAGATTCCTCAAGTCTCAGCTTCTGATTTCACAGGCCCCAGATTCCCCAGGAAGTCATGTAGCATCCCTGTGTCCCCAGGACAGTGAGTCCAGAGCAACACTGCTCGGGCCACAGTGACTCCTATTCTGGTCCTCCACTGTCTAGGCACAGTGTGATGGTTAGAGGTCCCTTCAGCTGGGACATCTGATCCTGATTATAATGAGGGAATACTCATCCCATTACCACCCTCTGGGGCCACAGAGCCTGGCTTGGCACCTGCCTGTCCCTCCACACACCTATTGCTATCAGCATTGGCCTGCTGTGCAGTCGCAGGCACCACCCTTTGCCTCTCTGAACCTTAAATCTTGTGCAGTGTATAGACCTTCCAACCCTTCTCCCAGGATGATTTATACATCTGTAGGAGGTCACTGACAAACAAGTGACTTCCCGAGTGTTGGCTCCATTGACATTCTGTTTGACTTTCCTAGGAAGGGAGGCACCACTAACTAACAGGTAGAAAACAGCCTGGGGCCACACAACACAGCTGGTCAGTGGCTGGTGGAAAAGGGCCCCAGAGCTACAGACACTGGCTCTCTGCCAGGTAGAGGCTCCAGAACAGCAGGACTCCTCGCTCCATGATTCCTAGTGGTTTCCATGGCAAACGGGGCGTATCTGCCACATGTGTACACTGTGGGGATAGGGCCAGACCACTGCAATTCACAGGGGCTGGAAGCTGAATTCCTCTCCTGGACTTTGCCCCTCTCAGAGGCAAGCTTCAAGGCTGGCAGAATAAAATGGAAGAAGGCAGTTTGGGGAGGAGCATGTGGGAACACAGGCTCCTGAGCCAGGGGAAGCAGCATAGGGAAATGTCTCTGAATGCTACAAGGTGACAGAGGCTGAGGGGAGAACCTCAGGGGAGTGCTTTGAAGCTAGGGACATTTGTAAGCCAACCCATGGAGGCCTCTGACATCTTTCTCTGTAGGAAGTCATCCTGATACGCTTGAGTCCCCAGAAGAGGTGGGAGAATATACTTCCCAAGCCCATCACAGGAAGTCACAATTGTGGGATCACAAGTCCAGGGGACTCAGAGCCTGATTGCCAGTCTACCCCTCCATGCCTCAGGATGGAGGCCTCCTTCACCTGGCCTCAGTTGTCCCTATCCAAAAATGGGTGAATATGGGAGATGATGAGGGCTGAGCCGTCCCTCCAGCTACCCCAAGTGTCAGGGCCAGAGGAGACAGTTTCGAAGAGATGAAACAAAACCAGGGACTGACTTGGAAGGTCAAGCCCAGGAGAGGGTGACGGGCTCCTAGAGGACACAGCCAAGCAGTGACCAAGACCAGGCTAAACTGTCGTGAGCCTTACCCACTCCACTCCCAAGGTCCCTGCCCCAAGCATGGCCTAAGCTTGCTCTTTCATAACCCCAGAGGCTGGGCTGGTCCCTGCAGGACAGCCAGGAGACCTAAGACAGGTGAAACCCAGTCCTGATACGGGGACCTCACCTCACCTCACCGAAGGCTGACAGGGTGGAGCTCCTCAGAACTGCAAGGGCCCACAGGGAAGGCTTCTGAATGAGCTTACAGCAAGAGATAAAGACTACGACACACAGGCACACTACAGAGGTGAGGGCATGCAGTCTTTATTGGGGACATTGACAGGCACGGAGGAGGCACTCAGGTTCCCACAGTGCAAATGGGGTGAGACAGAATTGGGGAGCAGGCAGTGTTAACCAAAGGGGTCTCAAGAGCTGTAGGGAGAGGCCAGAAAGGGAGACAGAAAAGTAGGGCCCCTGTCTGGGTATGGCTCCCTAGAGTCAGCAGCATCTAGAAGCACTAGCCAGTGCTTCTGCAAGCACATGACAGCACAGCTACCAGAGCCAGTGCCACAGCCCACCTCCTGCCTCCAGAACCCTGACACTGAGCTGGGACTTGCCCTCCTGACAGCCAACCCACTGAGACAGCTCCTACCTTCAGCTCTTGATGCTGGAGGCAGCCTTGAAACAGAGTAGGTGACACTGCTGAGGTGCCCCTGGCTGACGCTAGGTGGCGATGGGTGAGACTTCTTCTCAAAGGGAAGCTCTCAGCATGTGCAGGGTGAAGGAAAATGAGGCTTAGGGCAGGGCTGAATCTGCTGATAACTGTGCCACAGTTTCCCTGTCAATTTGGTGAGTGGGTTGTCCTGATAGCCTCCAAAGCCAGTGTTAGGCATCACATCTGGACACCCCCAACCCACTTTAGACATCAGACATCTTAACTGCCCCCCAAGCCTTACCCATGTGCTACCACTCCAGTAGAACAACCAGTAAATGCCCAGAGAGGTGACAGGACACAACACCCGTGTTCCTGACCAGTGAGCTGCAGAGACCAGGCGTCCTAACGGGGACATCCATATTTCTGGCTTGGAGCCCTGGATTCCTCTAACTCAGTTCTCTGCTTCACCATTTGAGCCTCAGTCTCCCAGTTCAAGAAGTCATGCACCAAGGAAGGTTCAGACAGGGTTACCTCCACCAAGCCAAGGAACCTGTGTTTAGCAGTCAACAACTAAACTATAGTTAGCCTTATTCCTGCCAAGTATCATCCCTCGGACATGCATCCATAGAAATACAGCATGCTATCTCTCAATATGTATGTTTTATGTGCGGGTAGCTACAGCTGTGCCAGCTTCTACATGTTCTTTCCCTTCTCCACAGAAACCTGGGCCAGACCTGCAAAGCCAGCCACCCTCTGCCAGACAGACCAAGCCCTGCCCAGTGTCTTGAAGGCCCTAAGGTCACAGCAGGCTGATGCCGACACTGGGTGAAGCATCTTCCCTCTGCCAGGGTGCCACTGGGCGTTCACCTCCTGACTCCAGCTTTGGCCAGCAGGCAAATGCCTTTTTGCCAGGTTCCCCTGAAGGCAGTTCCTGTCATGTCTCAGTCTCCCATCCATGAAGGAAATCAGTTGCTGCTTGTTTGGATCTCTTGGTTAGTCTCTTGGTCTCTCAATCACTTTCTCTCCACCACAATGAAGCAGAGATGGCAGATGCCCAAGATGTCCATCCATCTGCCCACACGGACCCAAAAGGCCTCTATTGTCTATAGTAGCGGTGTCCAGCTTCTAGACTATGGAGCCATGGGACATCCCTGTGAGCCGCAGCACTGGCACCAGGGAAACAGGGAGGGGGGCAGGTAGGACTCAGGGGGCCTCTGGCCAAGTCAAGCACAGAAGGAGCAGCTATCAGAATGTCCCCAAAATACACACAAAGAAGGAGGTTCAGGCAAAGGAGAGTTGTGGGCCAGAGGCAGAGCAACCGGGGCTGTCATCAGAGCTGGTTAAACACCACGGAGGCCTTGAGGTTGGCAGGTTCCACGCCCTCGCCAAAGGTGATAAGGAAATACATGACCTTTCGGATTTTGGCCAGGTCAGACAGGCGCTCCCCAAATTCCAGGGCATCGGCCTCATTCCAATCCATGGCATCGGAGTCTTCCTTACGCCAGAAGATGGCGGCAGGGTCCAGCAGCTGGCGTGTCATGAGGTTGGTGAGGTCAGGCGTCCAGTTCTGCGAGGTGCCCGTGATGGTGACCTTGCCAGGCTTGTCCAGAACCACATCCCAGCGATCGAACTGCAGTTTCTGTTGCTGGATGAAGTCTAGACGGTAGACAGACTCAGCCGGCCGGAGCAGCTTCTCGCCATCCTGCCTCTTCTCTCCACGCTGCTTCAGGCTCTCTACTCGGAGGCGCATCTGCTTGGTCAGGTCCTGGTCTAGAACCAGCGGCATGTCCAGCTGCTGCTTCTGTGGCCCGTCCTCTGCCATGGCCCAAGTGCTACACCTGCTGCCACTGCCACCACTCCCACCAACAACAAGGAACCAAGTGGGCTGGAGCCTCGGATGCTAAGAGAAGAGGCCTCCTGAAAGCCCGCCTCCCTTTCAAGCCACTGGTCCTTTCTGGCCCCACCCAGATCTCAGGACAGGGGACACATGGGTGTGTGTCCAACTGCCTCCTTTCTGTTCCTTGCAGAAGTAGTAATGCCGTGCTGTAGGCAGGCTGGAGGGTGACAGGTTCCTTAGGGACCAGAGCACTGATGCCAACTGCTGTGGCAACCACCTTGACTACAGTAGTAGTGGCAAGCTGGAGGCTTGCTTGTTTGTGAGGACTGGAGAACTCCACCGTGCAGTTTGGAGAGAGGTGGGGGACAGACACATGGAGGTAACTGAAGACCATCCTGAAGAGGGCAGCACCACAAGGCATTCGTCACTAGTAGTCTGTAGTCAGCCAATCCAACTTGAGGCCATTGTTGCTGCCTCCTCCTCCCTTCAATTCTTTCAGAGCCACCTGCCAAGTCCTGTCAATTCTGCTTTCCAAATGCCCTGGGCATCTCCCTCTCCTTTAACATCACAGGACCCAGCCCAGCTGCCACCTTCCATTTGAACCTGGAGCTCTCAAATCCCAAATCACCTGCCAGGCAGATGGATGGCTCTGCTCCTGGAAGCTGTGGTTTGATCAGTCTTACTGTACACTGTATACCACATAGCCACAGACCTGGTTCTCACTCCCATCAAAATCCCACCAGCCATTCCGCCTGCCCTGATTCCCCCACCCCCAGGAGACCTGAGGCCAGGGAAGAATCAGGAGACCCACATACTGGAGTGTCAGTGGGAGGCTGAACCCAGCCAGTGTATGTGGACAGATGGCAGAACTGCCTAGTTGTTAGGTGCATCTAGGCAGTGGAGACACAGAGATGCGGCTGTCACGGGATGTCACACACAGGAAAGAGGCATAGGGCAAGGTGCAGTAACCAAAACAATCGGAAGGGTTTAGGGGACAGAAGTACATTGCATTGCTTGATAGAGGTGAAGTGAACAGTGGGATCTTGGAGCACCACGATGGGCCGCTGCTTGTTCTGGTGTTTTGTTTTTTTTGGGGGACAATGCCTCACTGTGTAGCCATCCAGGCTGGCCTCAAAATTCCAGCAATCCTCCTGCTTGAGCCTCCCAAGTGCTGGGATTACAGGTGTAAGCCATCACAGCAGGCTATTTTCATATGGGGTTGTTTGTTTTTACAGTACTGGGAACTGAACCCAAGGCCTCTGTTACTGAACTACATCCCCTAGATCCGTTCTTTTTACAGATCCCAGAAGGAAGCCTAGACTGGTTTCAATCTCACAATTCTCCTGCCTCAGCCTTGCCATTGGGGATTTTAGGACGAAGGAGGAGGAGTTGAGTGGCATCCATGACAGATCCTGGATTCAGTTCCCAGTGCTGAGAAAAACAAATCGACCTCAAGCCCTGAAGTGAGTTCTTGGGGCCACGAGCAGCAATTCCAGCCAACAGCATGGTAAGAGATGAATCAAGTTGTCTGTTCACTCACTGGTCTTCAGGACAACGTGGCTGAGAGCTTTTAGTGAAGGGTTTCTACTTTCTCTCTGAAGAGGAACGCCTTCTGTGCTTCCAGCACGACATTCTGATCTCAAATTCTTTCATTGAGTGTGTGTGTGTGTGTGTGTGTGTGTGTGTGTGTGTGTGTGTGTGTGTGTGAAAGTGTGAAAGTGTGTGTGTGAGTGCCATAGGGTACATGTGAAGGTCAGGGGGACAACATGAGGGAGTCAGTTCTCTCCACCCACCATATGGATCCCAGGATTGTCAGGCAGCAAGCACCTTTATCCACCAAGCCACATGGCGAGCCCAATTTGTATTTTTGTTTCCTTAAGTGTTTGAGAGAGAGTGTATGCACAAGTGTGAATAAATGAAAGTTAGAATGTGTGGTGTGATAGCTGGTGTGTATGAGTAGGGTGCTGGGGATGGAAACATGAGCTTTGCACAGGGTAAGCATGTGCTTTCCCACTGAACTGGATTCCAGCCCTTGTTTTGTTTTGTGTCTCCCCTGGACCAGACACCCTGGCAGGGAGGGTGGTCAGACACTGTAAGTGAAAACATGACTTGCCATGCCCAGGAGATGTTCAGAAAGCTGAGTGAATGGTAGAAATGCTGAATGTTGAATGAATGAATGAATGAATGAATGAATGAACAAATGACAAGGACAAAGGGTGATGAGGAGGCTCAGAGGCCTAGAAGGTGAGGAAGAGATGTGTTTGAAGCACTCCAGGGAAAGGGGTTCTATACAAGCTGTGGGTCCGTTAACAAGTGGTTGAAGGTGAAGATGGATGGAGTTGATGCCAAGAACTACAATTAGAGTAATGGGTGTCAAGGGCAGAGGGCAGATATTAACCTCACAGACATAATGATGTCCAGAAAGGCTGGGAAATTAGAGGTGCCAAACACTTTTGCCAGGCAGCAAGCCAGCACAGCAGGCTGGCAAGGACAGCAATGCCAGAGGCCGAGGCTGAGGCTGAGGAAGCTGGCATCTGTACAGACAGACACAGGCAGGGGAAAGAAGCCGGGTTTCTGCATCCCGAGGGAAGTGGGGGCGGCCTCTCCCTCCCCTGGAGGGAGTCCTCCAGGGGATCCAGGGCCACAAAACCTCTAGGGGGGTGGCCTGGCTCACTCCTGGGGAGAGAAGTACACATTGCAGGAATTCTGTGACTGCTGTAATGAGGACCCACAGACAGGGCTGGTGGAAGGACCAACAGACAGCTGTGTCATATGTTTGTGGCCAGTGAGGGAAGAAGGAGGTGGATGCAACTCAGCCAGCCACTGGACAGACCCTGTGAGGAGCCACCCAAGGCTGGATGGGGAGGGAACTCAGGAGAGAAGGGCCCCTCTAAAGTGGCATCTGTGGTTGCAGAAGTGAAAACAAAGCAAGTATCACAGACCCAGCAGAGAAAAGGAAAAATAAGGAGACCCCTAGCACTACTGCCTCTGGGTGGTGAAAGTCACTTGGTTTTTATGCATTTCACATCTTCCAGTACCCAGAACATACTATGTACACGGGACACAGTTAAGTCCTCCATTTATCACTTCTCAGTGAACCAGTTTGTAACTGAGGCATGAGCTGGGAGAGAGTGGGTAACATTCAATGTATTATTGTTGGTTTTGTTGTTAATGAGACAGGGTTTAATGAATAGCCCAAGTGGGCCTTGAACTCAAGATCTCCCCGCTGCAATCCCTGAAAACTAGGAAACATTTAAACTGGAAACAAAGATTGCCTGGTCCCAACACCCCCTATCTCTCCCCAGCACTGCCTAGGACTGACAGGCCTCTGCCTTATTCCCTGCCCCCAACACATGCATGTTCTTGCTTTGTGCGATGGTCACTTCTGTCTTTACTTCCAGCCAGAACCCCAGCTGGCTACTCTTGGGTCCCAGGAAGCTGGGAGCAGGCAGCAGGCAGCAGGCCCATCCCATTTTGGGGGTTGCACTAGGCAATGGAGAGGACACCTCCCAGAGAACCTTGGATCTGGCCTAAGCTGAGCCTGATGACAAGTATTCAACCCAATCATATCCTAACTGTGGGTTCACGGGGCCTAATCACCTCAAATCTACTGTCTGCCTTAGGGAACAAACTACTGAGCTGGAGGAGGCCATATCGAGAAACAGAGAGCCCTGCAGAACAGATAATTAGGTGAGACGCCCAACATTTGTCTATGGGGCCTGGAAAGTCGGGCTAAGGTCAGTGACTGCTTTGAATCCTGTGCCCATCAGCCCCAGACCACCTTGAGGTCTAGGAATAAAGGATCAGCTTCCCTAGAGGAAGGGCAAGAGTGTCCCAGGCATGATACATGAGACTCACTCAGCACTGGGAAAGCTCAGGTAGGTGGGGTTCAGAGTGCAACTCACCCCTACTGCCCTTCCAGGGGAAAAAAACAGAGTAGGGCAGGGGAGGCCCTGCAGGGCAACAGGACAGAACAAGAGGGGTGATAACAAACAGGGACCAGTCAGTGGGGACAGCAGGGGATGTAAGGCACAGTAATGAGCTCCCCAGGGCCTCCTTGCATGAGCCAGAGACTGTCACCACAGCAGCACCCGGAGGTGGAATGCAATTAGTCTAGAGCATGTAACCCTGGCCCAGCCTCCCCCGGGGCAAACTCCTGGAGATCATCCTGGGAGACCACCATGGTTGGAGTCTCAGCCCTACAGAAGACTGAGGTACCACACTGATAAGAAGCAGGCCTCCAAGCAGGCCACCTTCTCCACCAGCTAGACAGGGAGCCTGGGAAGCCAAGACAGTGAGACAGCAGGATGAGTATCTTTCCTGTCCATGCATAGCCAGACTTGGTTAGGTTCCAGTCCATCAAGAGACCCATGGGAAATGGGCAGCAAGGTCAGCTTTGGAGCCATGGGGCTGTACTGGGTTCAAGGTGGGGCAGCCGTCTGTTCCCCAAGCTTTTGGGTCCTCCCTCTGTTCACTGCACCAGGCTCAGCAGGAAGGGGCAGACTAGGCCATCTCTGCCCCTGGGGAGTTCACCTCTAGAGGGGAAACTCAGATAAACAGGCAATTACAGGGCAAGGTGGAGCAGCACACAGGGCCCACATGCCCCCACCCCCCCAGCCCCTGGCCAAGGTCCTGCAGCCCTTGCTCAGAGTCGGGGCTGGAGGAAGCAGCGCTGAGCACCAGTCCTCCACCCAGAGGATGGTTCCGGTCTGAATCCTCTGTGGCTCTTGACGCCCACAACAGACACATTCTCCCTGTCCAGCATAGCCTCCCCACCATTTGATAAGCCACATCACTGGGCTCTATCTGAGCACTAAAGGCCCACAATGTGCAGCTGCTGTGACAATGTGCTGGGACACCTACTAGGTGGCTGTAGTCCACACTGTCTAGTAGACAGGGGAGGATAATAGAAGACCTGCAAAAAGTGTTGGCTTTGGCTAAGGACACAGCTCCCTCTGATGGCCTGGGAACCTGACAGGGACACCTACTGGGTGGCTGTGGTCCACACTGTCCAGTAGACAGCGGAGGATAATAGAAGACCTGCAAAAGTGTTGGCTTTGGCTAAGGACACAGCTCCCTCTGATGGCCTGGGAAAGCAAGGAAAAACTTACCTATTCCTTGTGTTCTGTTTCATGGAAACGTCTTTTTTTTTTTTAGATTTATTTGTTTATTATGTATACAGTGTTCTGTCTGCATGTGTCCCTGCAGGCCAGAAGAGGGCACCAGATTTCATTATAGATGGCTGTGAGCCACCATGTGGTTGCTAGGAATTGAACTCAGGACCTCTGGAAGAACAACTAGTGCTCTTAACCTCTGAGCTATCTCTCCAGCCCAAAACATGTCTTTTTAAATGTTTAAACCTAGGTATTTATTTGTCAGGGGCACATATGGAGGTCAGAGGACAACTTTTGGGAATCCATTCTTTTCTTCCACCATGTGGGTCCTAAGGATGAAACTTGAAGGCAAGGGCCTGTACCGGCTGAGCCATTTCCCTCGCCAGGAACACTCTTATGTTGTAGGAATAATGATTACTCTAAAACAGGTCAGTGTGGCCAGCACTGACTAAGAGCACACTGCCAGGAGTCCTATAAGAACAGAGTTTCTTCTTCCTCCTCCTCCTCTTCTTCCTCCTCCACTTCTTCCTCCTCCTTCTTCATGGCTTTCAGGCAGGATCTCATATATCCCATCTAGTCTTGAACTCACTATGTAACTGAAAATGGCCTCCCCTCCCCAGGAAGGTAGTTCTACGTACTATATTTAAGGTCTTCTGCTGAGTGTTGTCAAGAAGGTCCAAGTGGCAGGCCCAGGACCCATTCCATCACTCCCCAAACCCTTGCCCTTGGCACAGAACATCAGCTGCATGAACACAGAAACCATGAACCACACCCTGATGAACAACCGGGAAAACTGAGGCCCAGAAAAAGACAGCAACCATAGCATGCCACACAGCAGTTACTAAGTGCTGAGTGGTATCCCTCCAGGGAAGACAACACAGGCAGTGTGCACATTTCACAGCGGTATTCTCTGCTCCACAGGACACTTGTCCCTCAGTAGTTGGGGAAGGGACACATCAGAATCACCTTGGGCACCCTAAGGATCCCAGGCTAAACAGGAGTGGGAAGGCCAACCTGCTAACGGATGCCCAGCCTATCCATCCCAGAACCAGGCTTTCAGGAAGCCCCACAAGTCTCACTGAAGCCACATCTGTCCCGCAGTGAGAGCCATGGGCTGATTGACTAGACCCTGATGCTGCCTGTCCCCAGACCTTACCTTTTGCCAGAGTACCTCTCGAGAGGCGAGTGACGAGCAGGCGGCCACAAACCAGCAGTTGCCCACCTGGCCCTGGTGCAGGTCGTGAGAGCTGATGCCATCTACGAAGAGGCGGGGATCATCACAGATATCCTGCAGAGAGGGAAAGGAGAGCATGAGGACCTGAGGACATAGGTTCTTCTCCAAGGCAGGAGAAAGACTCTGTCCCCTCTCCCACAGAAGGGAGGTACACAGACAACCATGCCCCAGAATCCTGCCTGGACTGTGTCTCCCTGCTTGGCCACAGAGCCTTTCCACTACGGTGAGCTGCGGGATGATGGCTGAAGAAGGAGTGCTGGACCCTGGGTCACCATCTTCTTGCCTTGAGTGGATCTCCCTGTCCAGCCAGCCCTCAAGGCCAGCCACGGCGCAGCCAAGCGACAACCCCCAAAATGACTCATGATCAGTAGAAAAGGAGGATGTTCAGGCAGTGACAGGGTTGCTACTGCCTTCTAAGGATGAGGAATGGAAGCTCAGGGAAAGGCAGAGCTTGTCATAACACAGGACACATAAATACCCAAGTGGGGCAGATATCCTGTTGATTTTCCACGGAGATTGGCAGGGATGACCACAGAGGCACAGGGCATGCCAGGAACCAGGTGGGGGCAGCTGCTGGACAGTCATGTCTGGCAGTACTTGGGCCCTACCCCTCCTGGAAGCTTGGTCTAGTTTTCCAACCTCTCCACCCCTCACCATTGCCCTTGAAGACCCCAAGGCAGTGCTGTGGAGTAGGAAACATATAGCTTTGGCTTCTGCACCAAGAAACACACTCTGAAAGCATAGATCCCTGCCTCCCAGACCTGACACCCTGCCTAGGCAGGAGCCGGACACTGGCTGGATCTCTGAGGGAGCAGATAGTACCATAGGCCCAGTCCAGGAAAGCAGCTAGGCATAGTCACAGCCTCCCTGGAGCCTAATATGAGCACGTAGGCCAGGCTGCTGCAGGGCTAGGCGTGAGGGGCCCTTTCCTGGCCAGATTAAGTCTTCTCAGAGCTGTGAGTGTGCTTCTTGCAGCAGGCCCACCTACACCTCCTCTGTCAGTGCCTCCATCCACAGAGCTGAGAGGAGCTGAACTGAGGGGGTGAGGGAGGCACAGCACCAAGACACAGCTTTATAACTAGGACATAATGCTGGCACCATGGCTCAACACCCACTGGTCCTGAGAACTAAGTGCTGTGCCCATTTCACAGATGGGAGGTTTAGCATGATGCCTGTGATATAGCTGTTTCCTTGGCTTGACAAGATCATCTCCATCTTGAAGCCAAGTGGCTATGATGACCCCATTAGCTAGCTCAGGCCTATTAGCATTCCCTTGGTAGGTGTGCAGGGGAGAGGCTCACAGACACTAAGAGGTCATCACATGATCCTCAAGAGGCTCCCTACCTTCAGCCCTAAGGTAACAGTTGACTGGGGATAGGATTTCCTGGGGGTGTAGCTGCCTATGAACTGCCCCGCCCCTATAACTCCATTGAACTCACTGGTTCACCAGGTTTGGCTTGGACTAAACCCTCTCTTTGATCTGCCCATGCCCTGTCTATCTGGAGTGAATAGAAGTTTCTTCACATCTCCCAGAGAAAGCCACACAACCAGTGGTACCTACAGAGAACAGACAGAGACAAATAGGAGTTGGGGTGGAACATCCCTGGGGAAAATTCTGGGAGTGACACACCTCCTAATTGAGGTGATAGCTGCTTGGGCCCTAAGATATAACAACTAAGGTGGAGTGTTCTGTGCCCAGTGAAAATCAGTCTAAGGTGTATCCTGAGGGGAAACTCCAGAGTAGCCAACCTCTGTGTGATAGAAAACTAAAAATTGTTTAATTTTTAAATTAATATTTAATTTTTTGATATTTTTGCTTTTCTAGACAGGGTTTCTCTGTGTAGGCCTGGCTATCCTGGAGCTTGCATCATTGACCAGGCTGGCCTCAAATCCAGAGACCCACCTGCCTCTCTGCCTCTTGAGTGCTGGTATTGAAGGCCTGTGCCACCATCGCCCAGCTAATTGTTGGGGGGGGGGTTCGGGACAGGGTTTCTGGGTGTGTAGCCCAGGCGGTCCTGAAACTCACTTTGTAGACCAGGCTGGCCTCGAACTCACAGAGATCCACCTGCCTCTGCCTCCAGAGCGCTGGGACTAAAGGTGTACGCCACCACCATGCAGCTAATTTTTAATTCTTAATTCTATTTTAAAATTTGATTTAAAATAAAGCATTAAAGTTTTTAAATTAAATAATATTAAATTAATTAACTTAGTGCCTTTCCTTTGCAGGCCCGTGTGATATGGTAAGGGATGCTATGCTTCCTTGTTGTATAGACACACTGCATTGGTACGGGGATTCCTCCAAAGTAGCTGATGGACTGTTAGATGCTATATTGCAGTCTCTGAAAGTAACACATATGGGAAGGGAGCGTAAAAAAGCTGTCGTGGCAGCCACAGTGCCCTGGCTAAGAGTGACAAGACAAGCAACCACCAAGACTGAGTTGTCTTCCCAGAGGAAACTGGCCTGCCTTCAGGATGGGGCAAAGACAAATCCATGTTTGGGAGCCCTGGGAGGCTTCAAACTCGAACAATTGTTCACCAAAGGGGTGAGGGATGAGAGGTACAGGTTATCCCTGCTGCACCCAATGCTGGAGGGCAAGGCGGTCGATTGATATAGGAATCCCCTGCAGGTAAGGGCTAGGCAGAGGGACCAGAGGCCCCACAGTGATCTCTCCATCTCCTACTGATATGCATAATACTTGAGCTTTCATGGAGTCACATATACCTTGATTCATAGCAACCTCTGAAAACACAAGGGTGGGGATAATGGATGAATCAGGAAATGGAACCATGTAGGTGAAAAATATTGACATTAAACTTGTCCTGAGTGGGTTATAATTACCTCCCGCTCCAGATTCCTCGACTTACACATTTCTCCCTTGCAAGGAGGTAGGGGTGGTGTACTGCCAGGATACTCCCTGCACTGAAGATGTGACTTGTGGCAGCAGTCATATGTGGCTGGGAACAAGGGGAGACTATAGAGTGGAGAGATCATTCACTTAGTCTACAGATGTTTCAGCAGCCAGGTATTGCAGGTAAAAGCAAAACAAAACAACAGGGCAGGTAGGCCCACATTCCAACATTTTTCTTTAAAAAAAATTAACTAATTAGCTAGTATCATTCCTATATGTTCATGACACGTGGTACCCATGTGTCATGGAGCACATGTGTGCACTGGCACGTTTGGAGGTCAGAAGACAACTTCCATAGAGTTAGTTTTCTCCTTCCACCTTTACATGGGCCTCCCTGGGACCAAACTCAGGCCCAGGTCCAAGTAACGGTTGTTTTATCAGCTGAACCACCTTGCTGGCCCCATCCTTCCCTTCTGAGGGCACTGTGGTACATGTGGTGGCACCTCTTCACATCATATGGCCCAGAAGGTTTCTGTTTGTTTGTTTTGCTCTGATCTTTAGCATTCCCTTAGCTGATGAGCCCAGACAATTTGCATTTACTTGGAACGGATGCAGCAGACCTTCAAGGGGATCTGCCAACCTCTGCACAAAGATCTCAGTATATTACACTTGCCTCTAAGTGTCTCACAGATTTAGAGACATCAGAAAGCTGTGCACCTGCGTCCGCAGGATTGAGGGTGGGAAATCAGCCCACCCAGGGTGCAAGGACTAGGCACAGCCGTGAAGCTTTGGGAGCCCCTCTCTCCTCCTATCCTGAGATCCTCATCACTACTATAAAACAATTAACTGGGATGGGACTTCTTGGCGGCATAGTCACTTGTAAGTAGCCCCATAAACTCATTGGTTCACCCAGGGTGGCCTAAGGCAGAACCCTTTTGTCAGTGCCCTCTCTATCTTCCCAGGAAAAGTCACACTCCAATGTCCCAGGCACAAATGGGAGCTAGAGCAGACAGTGGTCTCTGCCTGTTTGGGAGTCACTGGATCTGCTCCTGGGCTCAAGCTGTCACAACACGGCAGCTGAGGCCCTTTCACAGGCAGCCAGCAGAGGGCAGGAGAGCCTGGGAGGCAGAACTCAATTCCTGCATGCCACTTGCTGGAGATGCAAACATAGGCAATGTCATCCTCTCTGTTACTCCATATCCTCAAATGCTGGCCCCACAGCGATATGTGTGGCCTCCACAGATGGTGGCAGTGGAGCATTCTGCAGGAGGAAATGGGATAATGGGATCTCAGTTCCGGGTTTGGGACTCATTTGGCCAGAAAACAAAACAAAACCAAACAACCAAACAAGCAAACAAACCAAAACACCAGAATTATCAGACCAGGAAAAGAAAGGGTAACTCCCCCAAGGGCACTAACTGAGTTGGAGACCTGACCACTTCTAGCTGGGGATACAGAGGATTCAGGGGCAAGCTACATAGTGGCTTCTCCAAGGCACAGATCTGTGTTCTGCCATCTCTGATCAGTAGAAACCTGGTCAGGAGGCCTGCTTCTTGTCCCCAAGTCCACTCTCAGGAAGCTCTGGCCGGAAGCTGAGCTCTGTCAGCCCTGCTTCCCCCTAATCTTATCTTCTATAGTGGTGTCTCCTAAATAAGGCCCCGAAAGGGGGGCAGGGCTTCACTTCTCGAGAAGTCTATGACATGAGTCCACACTGAGAGAGCCACCACCTGCTGTCACTAGGGCTGCAGAGGGAGATGACATCAAGGTGCTCATCTACTTCAGTTCCTCCCAATAAGTGCTCTGTGACAGACACCCACTCCAGATGAGGCAGAGATGTCCAAGGTCAAGCAAAACTGAGTGAACAGACAGGGCAGAGCAACTGGCTGGGCTCCCAACATGGGCTCTCCCTGTCATTATACTGTGTCAGCCTGGCTCTAACCCCAGAGCACCCACCCTCCTGCCATGCCCACCCCAGCCTTGGAAAGAAGACTGGGAGAAATGAAGTTCCGGAGTGACAAAACCACCCTTGCTTGTGTGTCAACAAGACCAAGGAGAAAGAGATGTCTACCCCTGTCTACCAGTGTAAGCCAAGGCTTCTCATCTTTCCTGATCACAACAGTTAGAGACAGGTTCTACTGCAGTCAGGCCTGAGTCCCCAGGGAAATGGAGTAGTGACAATATGAGACCAGAAAGGCTGCCAGGAACGTGGTATCTTCAGAGCAGATGTGGGGAAGATGGGGAGGGGGGCGGTGGTAGGACTTTGGGAGAATAAGGACCTCCCAAATGCCCTGAAGATGAAATCAATCTAACCACAGCCAGTAGGAACACTGCCCTCCCACTCACGTTCATACACACACACACACACACACACACACACACACACACACACACACACACACCCTACCTCTCTGCCAGGCCATCCATGCACCATCCAGCCCTGCCCACATCAGCTTACTAATGGTGGCTCTAAAAGAATGTTTAATTATTTCAGGAAATCCCTTTGGTTGCAGTAGAGAAAGTCCCTAGAGATAAATCAGCTCCTAGGAAAGACACATCTCACCAATCAGATAGCTCAACTGCATATGCAGATTTCCTGACTTTTGTTTCTTCTTCCCTATGAATTTTAACACTGCAGCAGGTGAGGTCAAATCTGTAAATGAATCTATTTCGTTTGATCGGCCTCCTGGTTTTGACTGTTTAGTAAACCATGGGCTGGACCTGAGACACTGGGCACCACTTTGCCTGAAGATCCCTGTCTCTGCCAATGAGCTCTCTGACAAGGGAGGCGGTTGGCACAGGGAGGCAAGTTGGAAACAGAAGCTACTGACAGGGCATGGAGGGATAACAAAGTATCCTAGATTGGACTGCATGGGGCCTTCTGTGAGCCCTGGACTGAATACCCCAGGCCAGGGTGCCACACCCACACCTCTGAACCTGCAGTCACCTCAGCCGGTCAGACCAGCTGGCCCACATTTAACCAGGCCTGATCCATGTCCCTCCTGGCTCAGCAGGAAATTCAGGCTTCCAACTAGTGTAGAGCCAGGAGCACAGCCAAGAAAGTGATGGATATGAGTTGGCCAACCATGCACACAGCTGCCCCTTCAGGGTACACTGCCTGTACACATCCTTCCTCCTGCCCACTCCCGAATCTAAGGTCACAAGAGTGGCCACTGCAGGGACTTTGCCTGGGACATAACAGACAAGTCACAGAACGTGGTGCCCCCTCTGCAGTTATCCCTCTTCCCTCCCCCATCTCCTTCAGCAACCCAGCCTTGTCTCCTCCACCTCCTCTCATGCCATGGGCCTTCCCTGGTGCTCTGAGAAGACTAGGGGAGAGGCTCAGTTTTAGGCAGAGCAGAGGCCTTCCTATAGCAGGCCAAGTGGTCAGCACACTGAGAGTAACACCTTTGCCAAAAGTTGCTAGGCAGGTGGGGGCACCAGGATGCCTCAAGGAATGCTAGGGTTTCCAAAACTGACAAATGTTCACAGGCCTTTTACCTACTCCCGAGATAATGTCCAGACATAGGGAAGGCAAGAGAGCTGGGTGGAGGCTAGACAGCTGTAGCCCCCAGCCCAAGAACTAGAAGTGGCTTCTGCCTACATCCCTGGCTCCCTGGAGCCCCTCCCCCCATCACCTCCCTCTCCTTTAGCCAGCAGTAAGATGGCAGATGTTCTCTGTGTGGAAAAGAACACAACAGAGGCCTGGGAAGAGTAGTAAGATGGATGCCAAAGAGGGCAGGCCCGGTGCTCCCTGCAGAGTGAATGACAGTATACTAGGCCAGCTCTGGCTCCCAACCATGGGGCTGGCAAGAAGGATGAGGGCAGCTTGTTGCAGCCTCCTGAGCTCCAGCACCTCAACTTCCAGTAACCATACTCAGCAAGAATTATTCTCCCCACTTAAAGATGAGCAGCCTTGGCCCAGAGAAGGGGACACTTTGCTCAAGGCCACACCTCACTTCAAGAAGGCATCTCAGGCTGGAGCCTGAGAAAAGTAGCCATTGACAAAGGGAGGCTGAACAACAGGTGGGGAGCTGGGACAGGAAGGCTATACTCAGAAGCATGAAGGCTGAGGGCCTGAAGGCCTGGGAAGCTATGAAGCTCAGGGCTAGGGAGCTGGGGCTACTGAGAAGCGAGCCTGAGAGGCAGGAAGCTTGGGAGGCAGGGGGCCTGGAAGGCAGGGAAGCCTGGGAGGTAGGGAGCCTAGAAGACATGGAGCTTGGGAGGCAGAGGCCTGGGAGGCAGGGAGGCAGGAAGGTTGGAGGGACAGGAAGGCTGAGTACCTGGAGCCTGGGAGGCTGGGAAGCTGCAGGCTGGAAGAATAAGGGATAGGGACACTGAGTGGCTGGGGCCTTCAAGGCTGTCTAAAGAGAATTTCTACGAACAGATAAGTCATCATAATGCCAACCCAGACAGAGGTTTCTGGGAGTGAAGTCAGAATGTGCTGTAGGGAAAATGGCCATTTGCTCTGCTTACAGTCCGTCAGCCCTAGAACCTAGGAAACGGGACTGCTCAGAAGCACAGCTGCCTCAGGCCAGAGGCCAAGAAGCTGGGCATTAATGGTCAGGAGCTGGCCAACCCAGCCCTGGCCCAGGCTGCTCCACTTCCATCCACTGTAGACCTTTCCCTCCCTCCCTCCACAGTTAAGTCCTCTGGGTCTCCATCACATCAAGTCCATGGGAACACAATCTGCCCAGTGGGCTCAGGCCTGACCAAGACTGAAGCCCGACTACTGTCCTGTGGGCCCTGCTCTGATGTCCCCATCTATGCCAACCACATGTTCTGGGACCCTGCCAAGGTAGGCAGTTCACCCTTCCTCTTCAGCTAGAGCTAGAAAGGCAGCTGGACAGGTGCCAAGGAAGGAGGAGGAAGGAGGAGGAAGGACTCCTGAACCCAGGGGAAAGGGCTCTGAGAAGGCAGTGACTCCATTGGGTCACAGAGCAGTGGACGCCCAGTCACTAGCACCCTCAGCCACCAGCCTGCCTACACAGCCTTGGGCCTCATGAAGCCCACCCCAGACTGTGACTCACAGTCTTAAGAAGAGGGTCAGGGCAAGGACAGTGTGCACTGAGGGTGGTGGCAGGAGGAGGCTCAGGCATCCACCCTTCCTCCTGGGAACCAGGATCTCACAAAGGCCCTTGAGAGCTGGCTACTACCCAATGCCTTGCTGAAGCAGACGGGAGCATGGCAGAGTAGTGCCAAAATCCTGTTACTAGGTTGGAGAAGGAACCCAAGACCAGACACTCCCCAAAGCCCTAAGACCTAAGGCCAAAGAACCCAGCCTTCTAGCTGGTGTCAGGGACGGGCCGGGGTAGGACTCCTGGATGTGTGGTCCCTTCTCTGCTCAGTCTGTTTCCTTCCCTGACACAACCCCAGTTCACAGCAATGCCCAAGGCTGGCTGTTGGAAAGGACACAGATATGGAATTCATTTTTCTCCAAATGTCTAAGGACCAGAGAGACTGGACAGTGCAAATCTGACTGCCGTGTGCTGCTGAAAGCCAAGGCATGTGAGGCTCTACCGCCCTCACAGCTAACATGCCAGACACGGGGGCGGGGGTGCTTCCCTCGTGTGCCCTAGGTGCCACCTGTTTTGTCAGTGCAGAGGGAGCTTGATACCCCAGCCTGATAGTCTCTATGTGACTGCACCTTCCCCGCTGGCCTCACCCTGCAGCCAGAGGTGCCTTCTTTAAGAACGGGGCATGGAGGAGGCTGTGACAACTGCCCAAGTGACCTGGAAGAGCCTGGTTTCCTACACTAAAGTCCCTTGTCCAGTGACTGTCTGTTACCAGCATAGTGGTGAAACCTGGAAAGAGTCTGGGCCAGTATCCTCCAGCACCACCACCCCTGCCCGATTCACTGAGACCCTAGGAACTCCACTCCGCAGAACTTCTATGCCCATCTCATACACAGGACTTGGAACCAGAAGACATGTCTCAGGGGCCAACTATTTCTGGTGAGCATACAGCTCTTGGGCCCTAGACCAGGCTGGGAGTTGGCAAGGCCACCGACACTCAGGGTACAGGCCCTACCTTGGTCACCTGCTGTCCATCCTTATAGCTTGATGAGAGTACGTGCTTCCACTTGTACAGGAAGTGACTTTTAAAATCAGCAAACTTGCCCTTCAATCTAGTTACACACAGGGCCCATTTGCAGCTTTTCACATACACCCCACATGACTGTGGGAGGGAAGGCTGAGGTCGGCAGTACTTGGTCCCTGAGTACAACATGCCTTAGAAGACCTGGCTAGGAAGGTGGCTGCCTATGGGATCAGAGCCCATTCTCTCTAGGGAGGAGGGCCAGGTACTAACCTTAGGCCGCTTCCAACTAACTGTGGGTCCTGGGGTACTCTTATAGTAGAGAGAGTCGTCAGTGGCAGGGAAGTTGGGGTCCTCAAAGAGCACCTTCCTGCGCAGACAGGCCCGCTTCAGCCCCGAGTAGCTCTGGTCCTCATAGGACTTCACGCAGGAGAATGTGGAGATCATGTCCCCAAGAATGGGAGGCACCTAGAAGAGAAGAAGGCAAGAAGACCGTCAATCATGGGCACCTGACGACCTTGCTGAGATCTGAACACCGGATACACTCCCAGAAACATCCCAATGACACAGGCAAGCAAAGGTGCAGAGAGGGGCAGGGGTCTGCCCAAGGTCACAGGGCTAGCACCTGCTATAGGGGAAAGAGGTGACAGGAGCGAACCACCTGCCTCAGCTATTGAGTTTGTCTCCTTTCTTGTGTCTGAAAGGTGATACCAGGCCCTCAGGCCACCAGTGCCTTGTGTCCAGGGCTGGCCCAGGCCACACCCACCTCACACTCCCTGTCTTGTTTAGCCAGCCCTCCCTACTGCTTTGGGACTGAATCATGTAAGTGGCCACCCCCAGCAGCTTGTGGCCAGTGTCACACCCACAGGTCTCAGCTGTGGGCATCTCAGAGGTCTCTTCCTGACAAATTCCTGCCCAGGTTGTTCCCAGCTGTCATTCAGTCTCCACCCGAGCAGTCTGCCTCCTATGTGCACCTTACACTTAAGGAGGGAGCAGGCTCCCAGCCCCTGGGGCTCTGTTTACTCCTCAGGAGGCAGGAGACCATCCCATACCCTGTATTTTGTACACTGACCAAGTTCAAGGGACACACCTTGCACCAATATGGTCAGGGGAGGGCCCAGAGAGCAGGGGTTTTGTGTGTGGGGGAGACAAAGCCAATGGGGGCTTGGCCCATGGAGTGTGTTGACAGGGGTCTGATCTCTCACACTTCATCTTCAACCTCTCCAAATCTACTCATCCTGGGGAGCACTGGGAACAACACTGTGGTCTTATTGAGGTTCAGGCTGACCATGAGGGAAACTGAATGGTTTCTGGGCAAAATTTGGTAGCAGGACTGATGTAGGCACTGATTGTGGCCAAACCACTCATCTTCTGGATGACAGTGGAAAAGTCACTCAGCCTCTTTGAGCCCGTTTCATTCATCTCCAAGATGGGAACAAGGTTGCTTCAGTAAGAGAATGATGCCATTATGATTAGCCATGGGCAGAGGGTGGAGGAAGGAGAGCAAAGGGGTCAAGTCTCCTCTCATTCCAAAGAGACAAAGGGTTCTCTGGAACCCATCATGTGCAAGCCACTAAGTAAAAGGTTTATTGTGTCCACTGTTGAGAGCAAGGCCAGAATGAGGGCTGAGGCTCTGTGAGGTAAGGCACCTTACCAGTGTTCCCGTAGAGGCAGTGGACTGAAACCAGGGTCCTCAGGTTGAGGTGGATGGCCTATCTCAGCCTCAGGAGAAAGGGCTAGGCAATAGTGGGCAAGCTCCCACACAACCCTCAACTGACCTGTGGTCAAAGGAAGGTAAGAGGAGGATTCTTCAGGGAAAGGAAGAAACAGGAAGGAAAAGTCAATGGGCAGGGCCGTCAGTGCCTTGTTCTGTAGCTGCAGCCACTGCAACCATTCAGGGTTGCTGTGTGACCTCAAGCCAACCAACCATTTAACTTCCCTAGCCTCTCCTCCACCCAGGGAGGTCAATCTTCTTGGGCCCTAAGGCCTCTCTCAGCATTGAAGTCCTAGGAAAAGTGAAAGAGGAGACTGGAAAACCTCAGGGTCGTTAGGCACCAAGCAGGCTCATTAGCCCTGCAGGCTTTAGCAGCCAGGGCTCAGGAAGCAATTTAAGCCACAAGAATTAGATCAAGGAGCTGAGAATCAGCTATTGTGATTCCAGTATTTCAGAGCCCAGAGGGCCCAGAGTGCGGGAGCAAGCAGGCTGAGATCACACAGCCAGGATGGCAAATGAGGCTTCTGGCTGCTCTCCAGGCCACAGAGGGTCAACGCCACATGAAGGATTCGCTCTCCCAGGAAGAAGAGATGGGGCAACTAGGAGACACTGAGAGAAGAGGAGTCAGGTGGGCAGGGAAGGAGAGACAGGAGTGGACCACCAGCAGAGGCTCTGCCATATCCCAGTCATTCCCCCTTATCCCTGGCAGGCAGGCTGTCCCTGGTCTACTTCGGGAGTTCTTCTGGGGCCTGGCCTTTACCTACTCAACCCCCATGCTCCAAACAAGAGGCTGTTACCACATAGTACCTCATGAGGTCAGAGACTCAAGGGTTCACAGACTCTGCAGTCTCTCCCATCTCCAGGCACCATCTCAGAAAGTGAAGTATAAACAGGAAGGCAGGAAACCCAGACTGACGCACCAGCCTCTCTCCCCAGGCCCGTGCTCCAGGCATGACCACTTCTGGACATTTTGAGCAGGACAAGAGACCCTGTGTAATGTTAAGGACAGGCTGGGCTTCCCTGCTATCTGGTGTCCACCTGTTTCCCTGTCCTTGCCAATCTGACCCTTGCATCCTTTACCCTGGAGGCCCATGTTCCAGTGCCAGTCATTTCTTACAGGTCCCTCTAGCTGTGAACTCAGCTTTGCATATGCCTCTCTTTCATAACCCAGCCCTGGCCACCTGGAGGCCCCAGGTGCCCAGCACCAGTTACTTATGCCCATTTGGACACTCCTTGTCCATTTTTCCCAGCCCACCCTCTGAGGACAGGGCCTATGTCAAGTACCGCTGCATCCCCACGAATAACAGTGAGGTGCTGGGATTCAGTAATCACAGAACCATTGCAACAAAAGTTGGGTGTGGCAGGAACTCTATCCCAGGTGCAAAGAGCAAGCTCAAGAAAGCCAGGACTGGGGCTACAGAGATGGCTCAGTGGTTAAGAGCTCTGACTGCTCTTGCAAAGGATGGAGGTTCAGCCAGCACCCACGTGGCGGCTCACAACTGCAACAGGGGATTCAAAGCCCTCTTGTTGCCTCCACAGGCACCAGGCATGCCTATGGCATCCAAAGACACATGCAGTCAGCGTTCAGGCCATCTGGAGCCACTCACCCCCGCCTGCTGGGCCAGGCATCCGCTTGCCTCCTGGCCTTCCTGATGGCTGTGTGCCAGTGAGGGCCCACACCCCACTGTCCAGGCTGAGCTGGCTATGGCCCTGCCCTTCAGTCACTGTGACTAAGCCTAGGTTACAGAGCCCCAGGGCTGGACTAGGCTGGAGACTTGCATGGGCCATGTAGCCTACAGGGTCTTTGTCAGAAGTGGGAGCCTCTGGAAGAAATAATGGAGCTAAGCCAATCAGAGAACAGATTGAACCCAACAAAGGGCCAAGAATGGCCAAGGCCATCAATAGAGGCCCCGCTAGAGGAGTCACACCCCAATCAAGTAGTCTGCCTATAGTCCCGGTCACCGAGACATTGCCAGGGTAGACAAACGGATCAGTGGAATGGAACAGAGCAGAACCGAGCCTACATGGTCCACAGGTTTACCACTTGACTTATGGCTTGGTGCACTGAGGATGGTGGATCATTTGCTCTCCACGTGGAAGAAGAACGATCTTGACCCTACCTCACACTACACACAGAACCAATCCCAAGAAAACTGCAGTGGAACTCCAGCCACAGGGCTGTCTACAACCAGTGTAACATAGCTAAGAACTGGCTCAGCAGTTAAGAGCACTGGGTGCTCTTGCAGAGGACCCAGGTTCAATTCCTGACACCTACAAGGTGGCTCACAACCATCAGTAACCCCAGTTCCAGGGGATCCAATTCCTTCTTCCAGGCTCCACAGGCACTAGGCACATGTGTGTGTGTGGTACACAGACATACATGCAGACAAAATACCCATAGACATAAAATAAAAATAAAAAATCAGCAACAAAACAAAACAAACAAAAAACAGCACAATATAAAAGAAAGAGCAGTCGAAATAGAAGGAAAAGTGCTCGACTTCACTGATCGGCAAGGAGGTACAAATTAAAACCATACTAGACACCATCCCATCCTACCAGCAGGGCTAGAGAGAGAAGCACCATGACATGCTAGCTGTGCATGCCCCAAGCACAGGCTGGGGATGGGGTTGGACAGCACAGTGATGGGCGGTGCACATGAAGCCCTGGGTTCCAACAGTGAAACCACAAGGGGAGCTCCGACACGGGCAGGGGTGGACATCTGCACAGTGACTGCAAAGCTGCTTATGTTCTGCTGAGTACGAGCAACATATATTCGAGACTTATCGACTATATCCCACAGATTCAGTGAACACAAGAATGTGTAGCACAGATTTCTTCTCAAAGCTTTTTTCTTTAAAGGCCTTGAACTCGTGATCCTACTCCTTCTCCTGCCCAAGTGCGGGAATCCCAGGCACGTCAAGCCCCCAGTAGAATCTGATGTGCTGAAAATTAGAAACTACTCAAGGACCATCAGCAAAGGACTGCTTGAGGGGGTTTTGTTGTCTTTTCAAACAACAGAAAACAAGCTTTTCATTATATCAAATTGAAAAGCAGGGCCAGATCACCCCATACCAAAGCCAAAAAGGAAAGTTACAGGGAAGAGGAGGCCCACAGGTTAAGGGCTGCTTGTGCTCTCTCAGATTACCTGAGTTCTGTTCCCAGCACCCACATGGGGGTTCACACCACCTACAATTCCATTTCAGCTCCAAGGGATCTAATGCCCTCTTCTGGCCCCTTCATGCATTGCACTCAGGTGCACATACACACACATACATACACACACATATATAAAATGAAAAAAAAAAGTTACAGGCCAGAGGTTCCTAAGGAACGTAAGACAGAAAACCTGGAGTTGTTCTGGGTGGGGGTAGTTGTGCACTCCTTTAATCCCAGATCTTGGGATTAAAGGCAGAGGCAGGCAGATCTCTGTGAGTTTGAGGGTAGCCTGGACTACAGAGCGAGTTCCAAGACAGCCAAGGCTATACAGAAAAACCCTATCTTGACCTCCCCACCCCAGAAAAAAAGGAAGAAAGGAAGGAAGGAAGGAAGGAAGGAAGGAAGGAAGGAAGGAAACCTGGAGTCTAGGAGCATATTGTTACTGTGTGAATTTAGATGCTACAGAAAAGCCTCAGCAAAGGACTAGGAACAGAACTCCCCAGCACCTGAAAAGGACACTCACTGTGACCCCAGTGGCTGGGAAAAAGAATAGCTCAGCAGTGACAGTGACAGATGGCTCCCACTTGTGATCTTA